CTAGAATATTGCCCTTGCCTCAAACAAAGCATGCCCCTCAGCACTCGTTCCTGCCTCCATGCCTTTGTCAACCCCTGCCATTCCTCCAGTGCCCGCCTTGGCTCATGTCCAGTGCATCAACAGTCCCATCAACTCTACCTTCCAGATATATCCTGAGCCTGACTGTTTCTCGACACCTCCACCACTACCATCTTACATCTCTGAGCCACTAACCTCTCTGGACATCTTGAAAATCACCTGTGGCATGCAATGATTTGTTACAGCAGCAATAGGAAGCTAATACACCTCCTGGGGGCGCGCTCCAGGCTCACTCCAGTCTGTTCCACACACTGCAGCTAGAATGTTCTTTCAGAACTAAAGTCCTCATGCGCTCACTCTGTGTACAGCCTTGGCCTGCTTTCTGCTGCTCTTGGGATGAGCACAACCCTCTTTAACATGACTCAGTCTCCCGAGTCTTAACCCTCAGCTTGACCTGCACTACCCTGTTCTGCTCTCTCTGCCCCCACAACAGGGGGTTTGGGCACATGCTGGCATCTTCCACCCCTTTGCCTGCTTAACCTTTACCCATCTCTCTGTTTTCATCTCCATCGCTTCCTTGGTCACAGAACCCTGACGCATTCACCTTGGCCTCATGCCCCCGTGAATTCTCTCATAGCATCACCGAATGCCTCTCCTTCCCAACACTTCTCCTGGCTGGGCTTTGGCATCTCGCTGTGAGTCTCCCGCACTCCGCTGTGAGGTCCCTGAGGACAGGGGTGGCGTAGATGTTTCTCGCTGCCCTGAGAGCGCCAGGGCACGGCACAGTGCCTGGACTGTGGTCAGCATTCAGAATACAGTTTTAGATAAATAAGTGGCTGAGTGCATATATGTCCAGGACTTCAAAGTCTCATTCCTCCCTGAACATCCAGAAAACAGTGTGAGATCCTCATTTCCAGGTGGTAGGGCTCCAACTTCCATGAAACTCTTCCTTAGGGTTGTGCCTTATATTTTAATAATTAAAACCCCTGTGCCTTATATTTTAATAATTAAAAACCTCCTTGCAAGAGCCCCCGTGCAGGCACTGCCGTAAGGGTGTGATATGAAATAAAGTCTAACCATTTCCTTATAATGCCCAGCTGGGCAGCAGAGGGGGCGATTACTATGCCACTAATTACCGCATGCAGGCTGCTCTAAGTGTGATACTGATTGATCAGTGAATGAATTGTAGACTCAGGTAATTACCAAACCTAATGTGGTTCCCGTCATGTTTGAGTAAATTAATGCCAAGAGGGAAGCTGCTTCCTGCCTTGCGGTTGCTTGGGAAACAGCAGAGAGCTTTCATCTGGATCTGACACTGTCCAGGTACGCCCTCACCTCTAGGGTCTGCACCCACCAGTGCAGCTACATGACTGCATGTAAGATCCTACACCAGACAGAGCCAGGAGACTTTTGCCACTCTGAGCAGATGACAGCCTCCTGGGGAGGCTACGTCTTTATCTCTAAGGCCATCTTGAAGGTTTCTTCCAGCCTCGTGATCAATTGCTAAGTGAACAAACATTGGATCAACTACTAAGGAGTGGAGTCCCACACTGAATCATCAATGAAGTACTGGGTTAGAGTCTGACCTGGATCATTAAATAGCAGTAGTACGAATTAACATTAATGGAGCATGTACTTGTTGGTGGGCACTATTCAAATAAGCATTTTATGGGCATCATCTCATATAATGCCCACGACATCGGGAATAATCACAGAGCTAGTCCATGCCAGAGGCAGGACGTCGACCCAGGCATTCTGCCTCCAGAGCCTGTGTACTTAACCATTCAGCCCTGAGGAAGTCACGTATCCTGAGCCTTGGATTCCTCAACAGTCATGATTCCTGCTCTCACTGTGCATCCAGCCCTTTGTGAAGTCCCTTAAAGGTGTTCATTTTATTGTCACAACAAAGCAATGATGTCCCCTGGAACTAATCTGCTTGACCAGGTCACACAACTAGTAAATGGTAGAGTCAGGATTTCAATGCCATTCTGTTTGCCCGCTGTTAATGTGTGCTTTCTTTGCCCCAGTATTGCTCAAATCAGGGATGCGCAGATCCCCATGAATATGCCCGCAGACCACGTGGGATTCACGCACCCCAGTTAGAGAGATGCTGCATAAAGTTAGCCACTGTCACTGCAAAGGCGACCCGAATTCACAAGGCGATGTGACTCCATAAGGTGGCCATCCATATGGTCCCAAATCCACTCAAATTGTTGATTTACTGTCAACGTGAAAATACCAAATTAAAAATATATGCACCTCACGAAGAATGGGGACTACCCCAGCCCAGGGAATGCCGCTGCAGGCCACACTCCATTTGAGACACAAGGCCCTCTACCCGAGTCCTGCCAAGGAAATCTCACACTAGTCCCTCCATTCTGTGGGTATCATTCGGCCTACCGCGGTGACAGGACCCACCCAAACGTGGCAACTAGAAAACGTGTCTGTCTGCTCACCCCCAGTCAACTGCAGCAGGAAAAAGAGAACCTCCACTTGGAATACCCACCCCAGTCCCACACTCTTTTCTAGTTGTTCCTGAACAACCCACTCTTTAGCACTGGAGAAATAGAGCCCTGTGAGAGATGTGTGAATGGCTGCTGTCGAGGTGTGCCTGCGTTCCCTGGCAGCACATCTTCTACGATCAGTAGTATCAGTTTGGTTCCTCAACTAGGACACTCTCTTTATGTGAACACAGGGAAGGAGAACGTGCCATTGATTTTTACTGAAGTTGACTTATTGGCCAGGTTCAGGAGTGTGTTCTGAGGTTAAGAGTGTGGGCATCATGGAGACTGTGACCTAACATTAATTGCTTCACCTCTCTGAGCCTCAGTTTTCTCATTGGTAAAGTAGATCTAAGTATAGCAGCTAGCACTCAGGGTTGTGGAAAATGAATGATATAAATGAAATCATATAGGTAATGACTAAAACTGTTACCAACACACATCCTCACTTCGCAATAAAGGGAGCTGTGTATTTCTCATTATTATCATTAAGTTTCTCCCGCATAAGTATTCACTTCAGGGATATCCCTGTACCTCAGGAGGGCAGTCCCATTTCGTGGGGTGTTAGGTTCGAAGCCCTTTTTAGAACGCCTAGACTCAAGTCATTAACGATGCTGCTCAGGGGTAAGAGCAATGGGCAGGAGTCTGCCTGTGCTCCTGGCCAGGCTGCCACTCACTTACCGTCATGCTTAAGTGCTCACTCAGCTGCCCTGAGCCTCACTCTCTCCTCCCGATAATTGTGGGCCTTGACTGGCCTGCAGGAGTTATGTATGGAAAAATCAATTCGTTCTGCTTCAGCATGCCTGCTTGCCAAACCAGGGCTTGGGACTTTGATCAGAAAGAAAGACAACATCTGGTAGTCTTTCATATCTTGAGTCCTTTTAGAGTTTACCTATCAAGGAAATAAAAAAGGAAAATATTTTAAAATAATCAACTGCTATCCATATATTATCATCATCATTTTTATATTCTCAACTAAATGAGGAGGATAATTTGGGTTTCAGTGTATTGGAATTCTACTCTGTGCCAGACCCCGTGCTGCTGTTTTCATGCATTGCATTCTTTCATCCAGACGCTGGTGCTATGATGCAGGCACCAGCGCCCTCAGTTACCGGGGAGGGAGGTGACATGTGGGGAGGTTACAGAACTTGCAAACATCTCAAAGATGGTAGTTGATAGAGCCTGGTGTGGGAACTCGGTCTATATCAAGGTTTCTTAGTCTTGGCACTGTTGATATTTTGGGCCAGTTAAATCTTTGTTCTGGAAGACTGTACCGTGTATTGGACAATATTTGGCAGCATCCCTGGTCTCTACCCACTAGATGCCAATAGCACCGCTCCTGCCATGACAACCAAAAATGCCTATTCGGTGCTCCTGTTGAGACTCACTGTTCTAAATTTACACTGGTCCGTGGGCTATGTGAGAACCAGGTAAGCATGTGAGTGCTGCACCAGCTAGACCAGGCTTGATGGGCTGTATCTTCACATTTTACCAGTATTCCCTTGGGAGAGTCACTGAAGCTGCTTAACTTAAAAATGAACATCATACTATCTCATAGGGCTTTTGCGAGATTAAATATAAGGTAATGCATGGAGAAGGCTTAGTACAGTCCCTGGTACATACAAGCAATCAATATAATTCAAAGCAAAGCATTAATGTAACTCATGATAAACCATCAAGTTGGTTGTCAACATATAATGCCAAATAACAAACTGGTGTGTGTATGTGTTGTGTGTGTGTGTGTGTGTGTGTGTGTGTGTGTGTGTTTTACTGAATGGGTTTAACATTGGTCTCAGGAAATGAGTGGGGATGGTGCTCCTAAACTCTCTAGAAATTTCATAACAATGACTGCCAGAGACTGGAATCTGGGTTACTGGTGACAAGACTTGCATGCAATTGAAGCTGATTTAAATGCAATTAGCATATTGAGTGCAACCATGTGATATTGCGGAAAAATAGTAAACACTTGTCAAGAAGTCAGTTTCACTGCGATGCTGGGACTCAACCTGCTGTTTAGTTCATCTAATGGATGTGCTCTTCCAAATGTCCCTGAAAGGAACAAATACAGTTACATTGTCTTTCGGGCTCTGAGTGGTTTAGGATCTCAGTCAGCACTTGGATGTTGCTGAATCCGGAACAGTCCCTGCAGAGATGTGTCGGTAGAGCTTGAGAGGGTATATAGGGTCCATTTTGGTGAGTAACACGAGAGCCCCAGGCTTTGCAGGGAGGAAAGAATCTGGGGCCTATTCCCAGCTCTGCCACTCAGTGTCTGAGTAACCCTGTTATTCTCTCCAGGTCTTCTGTCCCTCACCTTTAAAATGAGCAATGTGGATGCATTTCTTTGGACCTTATTCGCCCCCGCAGACAGCATGCTCTCAGAAGCAAGCAGTAGAAAGGAAATGAGGATTGGTGGGAGTGCTCTCCTTGGTGCATTTGAAAGGGGCCTATTGAGTTCTCATGCTTGCTTTCCTTCCTCCCAAGGTACACAGTTCTGCACAGCGGGCATCACCAGGAACTCGAGAAACTGCCCATACACACTGACCCAGAATCCCTGGAATCATGCTTCTGATTGAGGACCTGGCTCACAGCTAAGCCATTCATTCCCATTTGTGTCTGCATGAACAGGACACCCTGGCACCTCTCCTGACCCTCATCACCACCAGTGAGGTATGAGAAAGGGGGCCCAGGGCCCAGGGAAGGTCATGGAGGACCGTCCGTGTCGGACAGGCCCTGAGACCAGAACGTGGAGGATCACAGAGTTGAGAAGGGACTTCAAGTGTCGTCATATCCAGCCTCCCACCCAACACAGGAGTAGCATCCTTCACAGCATCCCTGGAAATTGGTCAATCTCTGCTTGCACACGTCCAGGGACAGGAGCTCACTACCTCCTAATGCAGTCCCTTCTGCCGTAGGGAAGCTGTAATTAAAGGAAGATTTTTAGAGAGCTCTCGACTCTATCACTGTTCCAATGGGGCCATGCAGTTGGCCACCTCTTCCTCTTAAGAACCCTTAGCTGTTGGGAGGCAGTGATCTGCCACCCACTCACCCTTTTAATTCTTCCTACACTCAACAGCTCCAGTTTTCTCTCCATGCTGGCCATCTGCTTCTGGTGGATGAATTCATCAAGGCTCTTTTAACAAAATTAGGTTGATGGCAATGCCAAGAGGTTCGTCCAGAAGCAGCGAAGTGCTGACAAGAGAAGCATCAGTATATCTTGGTTTATAGACATGAGCATTTTTTTTCTCGTCATATTTTGAGGGGTATAGACTCTGGGAACTCTGCTTAGGATTTGGTTTCAGATCTGTTACCAGCTCTATGTGCGCATCTGTTTAAAGGTGGCGTTCTCTCCTTAGCACACTGGCTTTGAGGTTATTCGGAAAGAATCCTGATTCACTTCCCTTCCATGACAATGCAGAAAGGGCCTGCGCCTTTACCCAGAACGTCAGTTGAGAATGGTCCTACCACTCCGCTTTGGGGAACAACACTCAGTTGCTGTAATCCATTGAGTGGCTTTCGGGGCCCTGTGCTGAGTCAGTGCCTGGTCTTGGTCAGGACAGTTGGCTCTTTTGGCAAAGACAGAGCCACAGACCAACTTGCTTTCTAGGAACCTCATTGGCCCCTGCCTGGGAAGCTCCTGCGCTACCGCTTTTCTACATCTTTCACCAGCATCTACCCTTCGCCACGCTCCTACGTAGACGCTTCCCTGATGTCAAAGTTACCACCAAATTACTTTATCTTGGAGTGAATTATGCCCCCAGGTTGAGGCTCAGTTGCCTTTCTTGTGGTTGCTGATAAAAACCCTATCGGAAGGATTGCTTGTTGGTCCTTATAGGAGCCCGTTGAACAGACAGTGTGGGTGATGGTCAGGTGCGTATGTGATAACACCCCACAAGGCAAAGATGCGCCAGACCTTTCTGACCTCGCCAGCTCCCCTTCACCTTCCACCTGGTCTGTTTATCCTGCTTCCTTTCCTGAGTGACCTCAGAAGCCACATTGCCTCCCTATCCCCTATTTCACCCGTGAGGGCACAATCCATTACCTTCCCCTTTTCTCTCTGTCCCAGAAATGGTAAGAAGGATGGTCAGACTCCACACAGGACTAGGGTGACCAGCCACTCTGGTTCTAGCACTGAAGGTCCCACATCCCAAGAAACCCATTAGTAACCGACAGACTGGGCCAGTTGGTCACCCACCAAGGGGACCCTCCCCATGCTGAGGATTAAGAAGCCCCCTCAGATTTGCTTTCCTTTCTTCACTTTTTTTAATGGTAAAGGCAGAGATGCATGAAATTGGGGGTCCATAGTTCTCCACGTGCTCTCTGAATGTGGTTTCTGCTCTCCTTGATTCACAAAGAACTTCTTAGGGAAGGACTAAGACAGCGCTCACAAGAACCAGCTCACAGCGAGGAGGAATAGGTTTAGTGCTTCGAGGCAACTGGTAAACTTTGTTAACCCCCTGAAGTCGGTAGGATCTACTATAAATGCCTATGGGCGCACACAGATACATAAATACAATTGGATTTCTTCCCTGAGAAATGCTTCTTTTCCCAGGGGCTTAGCAAGCATATTTATTTATGTAACACTAGAGGCCCCTGAGCACGAATTCGTGCACAGGTGGGTCCCTCAGCATGGCCTGCGGGATTGGGCTGAAACTGGCAGTCCAATGCCGACTGCCGCTCCGCTCATCCCGGCCCTGCTGCGCCTGCCGCGGGCTCGCGCCCAGTCAGTCCTGATCAGGAGAGGCTCACACCACAGCAGCAGTGCCACTCGCCAGCTAAGCCCTGCATCTGGCACCTGTCCTGGCACCGGGGGGGAGGGGACACAGTCAGTCCTCTGGGTGAGCAGTGGGACACCCTTGCTGGCCCAGGATCTGGATCTGTCCTGCTGACGTTCGTGCCAGTTGTTGGGAGCCACCTGGCAGCTGCTTTTATATCATTTCTTCCTTGCTGAGCGTCTAGGGAGGGGAAGTGGCCACAGTGCCCAAGGCCGACTTCCAGGAGGCAGTGGGGGCTGTTAGGATCATGCAGGAGGCGCTGGTCCATTGGTGCCTGGCCCGTTCTCTGGATTTTGGACCTGCAGAACTACTGAGGGAGTGAGTGGCTGCCACCGGGCTGGTGAGCCACCGGGACAGGTCGGTCAGCTGAGTGGCACTCGCATTGTGGCAGTGCACTGACCACCAGGGGGAAGCTCCTGTATTGAGGGTCTGCCCCCTGGTGGTCAGTGCACGTCAGTCATTCAGTCACTCAGGCTTTTATATAGATAGATAGATATTATTTCTCAGTGGCAGATTTGGATGCAACAGGGGTCCACAGATTACAATATAGGTGGGAAATTAGATCTTACCATGTCACTGGTCCATAGCTTCTGGGCACTCTGGATAGGCTTCTGTGAGCCAGTCCATGATTGGTGTCTGTCGAGGTCACATACACCCCTGACCAGGGAAAGAACAGCAATTGTGGGTCTAGGAGCCTTTGTCATTGCCAAGAAGACGGTCTCCTTTGCAGAGGTGGACTCATACGCAAACTTTATTGTCTCTTTGGACCAAAGGCCCACGTTGGTGGTTCCCAGGACAGGAACAGACCTGTTCAGCCCAGATAGCTGCTAGCCTGGCATTACTTCACTCGCTGGCTCCTGGGAATCAGGTCACAGAGCATGTGCGTGGAAGGAGGAGCCTTCGAGCCTATCCAAGGGAGGAGCGGGCCTGCATCTTGCCCTCTTCTCTGAGGAGACCACCATTTCCCAGGCAGCCTGCACTGTCAAGAAGCGATGCTCCCGTGAGGAGGGGATCGGCCTTGACAACCCCTGGGTGATGGATGCTGCAGCCAGACTGCCCGATGCCTGGGAGAAAGGGGTCCACCTGTGCTGCTCCTCAAGCTGACGTCCAGCCTGCAGGGCTGTCCCGGCAGAGGCCCTGCAGCCCCCCGGGCAGCTCAGGATCCGCAGCTAGAAAGCAAAGAGAGAAAAACCAGCTTCAACAGACGCCCAGGGATGCGTGTGTAGAAAAACCCATTCTTCCTGGGATTTCACCTCATCTCACCAACAGGTCCTCTTCATGCTGCTAACTTGCTCTTTCCTGAGAAAATTGCTGTCTGGCTGGGGGTGGAGGTGAGCTTCGGGGAGGGACCCGGAGAGGCTGTTACTAAATTGCCTCTAATATTGTCTTCAGAACAACAGTCATGTCTCCCTGGTGCTGTGCTGTCTACCCACCTGTTTCCTCCTCGGTGTAGTGTCTCTCTCTCTCTGTGACTCGGCTTTTCTCTGGTCACAGTCCTTCCTGTGGCAGCTGCTCTAGAGGGAAAAAAGGCGAATGCATTGACCTCTTCTGGCCATCATTTGCGGCTCTCTTCCATCCAGTCTAGAACACTGAGGCTGAATATTTGGTTTGAATTTAAACAAATCAGGGTAGATCTGAAGGCCTGAGTTTGGGACATCGTGTCATTTTCTGCACTTGTCTTGTCCCAAAATGGAGCAAGCCTCAGAGCTGGTAGGAGTATCGTGACTGTTCCAATGAGCATCACCAAATGTGTATCCTGCCAGCACTGTTATTTACGTAATATTTTTATTTAAATCACTCCAGGGTTTCACTTACATAAGTTTATTTTAGGGAGAAACATTATATCGGAACCCCAAATAGAAAATCAGTATTACTTGCCATAAGTAGAAAGCAGCCATGGGGCTAAATAGATGACAACAAAACAAGGTTATGACTTTCTAATGAGAAGCCAACCCTCAGCTTGCCCAAGGCTTTTGTGTTTAAAAGGATGACAAGTGAGTGTCCGAGAGTTGTTAGGGGCCCCCCACCTCGAGGAAGGGCCCTTTAAGCAAGGAATGGCTGAAAGAGAAGGTACCAGAAATGTACTCCCAAACTTTATGAGTTAATGTGATGTGATTGCATGCTCCATTCCACAGTTTTGGAAACATACAAGGGAAGTTCGCCTTTTATTTTTAACTACTGCTAGATTTTATTTAGATTAGGTTTCTCCTTTCCCTCTCCCCTTTTTTTGGCTCACCGAGATTATATCTTAGTTAATAATAAAAATAATAATGTAGCAATAGAGAGGGAAGTCAACAATCAATGAGCTCCTTTCTGGTAGGCGCTGTGGTAAGTGCATTACGTGGATTATCCCATTCAATCCCCATGAAATCCTTATAAGCACCAGAATTGCCCCTGCATCACAGAGGAGCAAACCTCAGCTGAGGAAAACAGACCTGGGGAGTGTGGACGCAAATGGGTCGGCAGGCAGCCTGATGCTCAAGCCCTGAGCCCGTAACGTGTGCAACACTGCTCATTGTGGGGATCAATTTATTCCACATTCACGTCAGCCCCAAAGCTGGGAGAGAGCAGCAAACTAGCGGGGTGGGGCCGCCTCCCTCATCCCTTGTTGCCTGAGCATTTCCCTTCTGCAGCAGCTCCGCCCCTGGAGAGACCGGGGCCATGCCTCCTCCCCTGGGAAACAGCCTCTCACTTGCTCTGTTGCTGTCTCTGCACCCTCCTGCTCTCTGAGCCTCAGCCTCCATCTTTGAACAATGGAGGGATGCAGGCAATGACTGGTCAGCGGGAGAGGCCCTTCCACACTGATCTCCCTCAGCCTCTTCAGGAGCCTGAAGTCACAGACAACCAGCAGCGAATCCCAAGGACCAGATGTGTGAGCCAAGGGAGAGCATCGGTCTGCGTGTTTCAGACCATCACCGGGCTGCTGACCCCCAGTGCGAGGCACTTTGACGGCCCCCATTTGCAGCTGGAACCTGCACCCTTGCGGGACATGCTCGCATTGGTCCCATCGGCTCACACTGCAGGCGTTACCAATGGGAAGGGGTTCTCGCCCCCACCTGTGGCCTTTGGTATCGCGAGAAAAAGAATTTTCTGAGACTCGCATGGGAGGAGGAGATACTGTAGGAGCTTTATTTCTGTGGAACCAAACCCCTGAGTGTCCAAGGTTCCATTTCCCTTTGTCCCGCCAAGGAAGACGTGTAGCTGGGGCTTCAGCAGAGCTAACATCAAAGCCAGTGTCCGGCATGGAACGGTCCAGTTCAGCCCTAGGCCAGTTCCGTTCATGTTCCCAGCTGCAGTCCATTCGTCCGTTATGTTCTTCCAATGGCCATCTGGGCAAGAGCAAGAGAACAAACTCCTTTGTTTAGGGGATTACGTTTTCCCAAATGTTTGAGGGTGTATAGTGGCGACCCAGTCTGGCTAATGATCTCTATCCCCAGGTTTGACTGACAGGCACCTTTCCCAGTCACCCCAACTTCACTGACCATGCATCTATCTCCCCTTTGTTGGGCCCCTTCCCCTCACTGATCTTTGGGGAATGGATTGGTGGTTCCCTGGGGAGTGAGAAATTTCAGCTTCCTGGTGAAGCTGCCCAGATAACATGCCTAGAATGTCTGGCCTTCCCTTTGCTGCTTTCCCGTTATTTATAACTAGCTAATTACAGCGGTATCACAGGCCCTCAGCGATCTCTGTACCTACCCAAGCTCTCTGAGCCTCACACAGCAGCTTGGGTGGGTAGATTATTGACTTTATTTCATAGAAGAGGAAACAGACTTTGCAGGAACGGTGATTTGCCCAAGGACACAGCATATATGGGACAGAAGTCAAGACTGAAACACTGCCGGTCACTCCAGTCTAACAGTGTTTCCTTCCTCCTCTACTTTAAATTTATTTCATTTCTAAATATGCAAATTCTATATTTGGGGGCGATGTAAATGAGGGGTTATACACATAATATATTTCTTCAGTCCATTCTCATTACAAAAATTTCTAATAATATAAATACAATAAAATACCCTTGACTCCAAAAGTAATTGCTATTACTGCTGGCTTATATCATTCAAGAATGTGTCAGTGCACATACATGGGTAGAAATGGACACATAAAAGCATAAGGTTTTGTTTTCTATAGAAATAAGATGAGACTGTATTAAATACTCTGCAAATTGCCTTTTTCAACATCATTTCACATCAACACGTGAATCTTCATTCTCTTTAGTTGCCCTGTGTGAGCTTAATGGGATAGACGTTGTGTAGATTGCAGTGTTGTCGCTCATGTTGTAGCTGTACCCCGTGTCTGAGAGGGCACTGGAGGCATCAGGAGAGCTGCCGCCGCCTCTTTCTGGGCCTGTGCTGACCATCTGAAGGTCAGCTGGGTGGCTTCAAGTTTAAGGGGCGGCAGCAACTCCGACTTGGCAGCTTCACTGCGGGGAGGGCTGCCCTTATATGGCTCCCACACCTCCTCCCTTCCTTTGAGGGGCTGGGACAATTTGCTCAAGTTGCACAGGCTTTGGGGTCAGACTGCCACTTCCTGCTTCCACCGCTTCCTGGATTTGAGTTTTTGAGCCCGATTTTTAACCCGCTCAACCCTAATTTCCCCAACAGTAAAGTGGAGGCCATAATAGCCAGACACATTTTGAAGTGTTAGTATGAGGATGTATAGAAGCACGGTAAATACTTTTAAACATGCTTTCGTAGTATCATCATTTCCTCTTAATGCCCTCACCGGTTCTCTGCTTCCTACCATCCTGGTATACGGCCAAAGGAACCGAAGGTTATGGAAAGACTAGAAAAACAGAAAACCTTTCTAATGAAGGGGTGACCATGGAGCGATACCACCTTCACCCGTCACACTTTCCAGTGTGCTGACAGCTCTCGGGCCTTCGTGACTGCCCTGTGCAGTGGGCATATTACCTATTCACCGTTAACCATTTTACAGATGAGAACACTGAGGCTCCAGAGTCAGGCTTGTGACCATCTCCAAGTCACCTAGCAGTCAGTTGAGGGTATCAGAATCTGAACCCAGGCCTTCTGAATCCAAATGCGGAGTCCCTGTGAGAACTGTGGTACCTGCTCCTATTTAGACACCTGGCCACGCTGTGAGAGAAACCCGATTCTTTCTCTAACATTCACATTAATTCACGAATCCATCCATGAAACATTCCCTAAGGCCTTGTAAAAATGTGCCAGCTCCACATCCTTAAAGGATGCAGGATGACTTAGTTCTCTGATATCGGCAAATCTTCCAGTCTGTAAACGAAAGATGGCTTTTTTTTAAGTGGTTGGAAACAAATCAAGAAGTATTTTGTGATGTGTGAAAATTATGTGCAGTTCAAATTTGTGTCCATAAATAAAGTTTTGTTGTAACACAGCCACACCCATTTGTTGATGGATCCTCTATGGCTGCTTTCACACCACAAGAGCTGAGTTGAGCAGTTGTCACAACTGAGATAAAAATATTTACTATCTGGCTCTCCACAGAAAAAGTGTGCTGATCCTGCTGGTAGGCAATCACTATCTAGCCATTCATTTCATAGACATCTACCAAAAGCTTTCTATAGTATGTATCTTCCAAATTCGGTGTTTTCAGTTAGTCCAGTCTGGGCAGCTGTAGAATGACTGCAGCGCCCCCTGCTGTACTTGTTCTAACAGTGCATTAAGTGAGACAGATCAACAAAAGTTGGAAAGCAGCGACCTCTAGTGGCTCCTCTAAGCATTAGTTAGATCCGCGATTTTCACACAGTGGTTTAGCACTGACCGGAGAAACAGGAGGTCATGCTTGATTCCCTGTCTGGGCACATGTCCAGGTTGCAGGCTCGATCCTCCGTGGCGTGCAGGAGGCAGCTGATCAATGATTCTCTTAGCATTTATCTTTCTATCTCTCTCTCCCTCTCCCTTCTTCTCTCTGAAATAAAAACATATAAAAATATTTTTTGAAAACATGCAATATCTGACTAAATATTTAGTCAGGGTCTCGGACCTCTTTTCCCTTAAATTGTCAAGTTAAAAAAATGACAAGAGCCAACACAACAATAGCTGTCCCGTATGAATGAACCCAAAGTATACCTTTTTTGGGGTCAGATCTGCAAAAATATATTTTTTTGGTATGCCACAGAATTTAGTAGTATATGTGTTCCAGGAGAGGAAAAAAGTTGAAAATTGCTGAGTTAGATTATTTGGGGACAGTGAAAAATGAGGTTTGGATTTAATCTTAAAATGAAGGTTGGGGATTTGTATTATTTTGAAGCATCTAGAATGTTCTATATTTTTTTCAGTCTTTTTTTTTTTTTTTTTTTTTTTAAGTATATTTTATTGATTTCTTACGGAGAGGAAGGGAGAGAGATAGTTAGAAACATCGATGAGAGAGAGACATCGACCAGCTGCCTCCTGCACATCTCCTACTGGGGATGTGCCCGCAACCCAGGTACATGCCCTTGACCGGAATCGAACCCGGGACCCCTCAGTCCGCAGGCCGACGCTCTATCCACTGAGCCAAACCGGTTTCGGCTTTTTTCAGTCTTTTAGTGATCACCGTTCTAACCTGGAGAATGGATCACACTCTTAGTTAAAAGGAAGGCTAGCTGAGTTAAAAGCAAGGTACTAAAGAGATGACTGAATGCAGTGCCTAACATCCTTCCTAATGTAATAGGAAGAATTTTAAAAGCCTTTGCAGAAAGACACTGATTATCATTCACACTATTTAGTGTTAGGAAAACTGCTGGCACCCTTCATTTCTGTGGACATGAGATAAAGGCAGCCCCTGGGAGTCAGGTACTTAGATTCTTGTGCTACCTGGCCTTACCCAGCTCCTGACCATCGGTGAGCTTTCCCCTCCCTGGCCTTCAGTTATCGCCTGTAAATGAGGGGGTTGGACTACATAAGCTCTCAGGGCCCTTACCCCTCATCCTATATAACAAAAGCCTAATATGTTAAGTGTCCAGTCGTCTGGTCGGCCCTTCAATCAACCAAAGTGTAATAAGCTAATGATATTCTAAGGCTGCTCAACCGCTTGCTGTGACATGCACTGACCACTAGGGGGAACTCTGGTTAGCTTGCTGCTGGGGTCCAGCCACTGAGCGAGATGGGCCGGACATGCCCTGGAACCTTCCTGCGGTCCCTCCCCAGCTGGCCAATCTCCTACCCTCCCTGGCCTGGTGAGCATGCACTGGTGGGGTCCCTCGGCCTGGCCTGTGCCCTCTCGCAATCTGGGACCCCTCGGGGGATGTCAGAGAGGCCGGTTTGGCCAGATCCCGCTCAATGCAGAAGCTGCCCCCTCGTGGTCAGTTGGTCAGTGCGCTTAGCCAGAAGCTGGGCTCATGGCTAGTGAGTGCAGCAGAGGTGGCAGGAGCCTCTCCCGCCTCCAGGGCAGCACTAAGGATGTCCGACTGACGGCTTAGGCCCACTCCCGAGTGCATGAATACCGGGCCTCTAGTATAGACCATAATTACATAATCTAGTCACACACCACTTAACGAGGGGCTTATGTTCTGAGAAATGCATTGTCTGGCAATTGTCACTGTGCAAACATCAGAGTGCACTTACACAAATCCAGGTGGTACAGCCCTACTACTGCAACTGTACGGACTAGATTTTCCTAGACTGGCAGCCCAGGGTTGTTTACACCAGCATCACCACACAGTTGTTTTGTGCAGGTTTCAGCCTATCAGTAACCAGTGTTGTGGTTGGACCGGCCCTTGTGGTTCTGATTGCAAGAGGGCCCTTAGCAATAACCATCAGGAGAACTTGGAGATGAGGTTTATTACAAGACCTGGAAATCACACAGCACACCTGGGGCCACACGGCAAGTCCAAGGGTGGAAAGAGCAAGGGGCTGGGGTTCTGCTTTCATTGGGCTGGAGGGTGGGGGCCCAGGGTTTCAAGGGCTCATTCTTTATGGTGAATTTAAACTGTAAGAGCAGGAATATACAGTGTGGGAAGACAAAAATCAAGTAGCCCAAATGGTCAGTTACTGGTCAACCAAGATCTCAAAAACAAAGGCACTTCAGAGGGGGGATGCGGCCTGGCTCCTAGACCTCATCCCGTTCAGCCATCTTCGAGATGGATGTCTCTGTAGTCACGGCTTACACTGCAGTAACGTGTTGGGCTAAGATTTTACCAGATGGCTGACATCACCAGGGGACAGGAATGTTTTAGCTCCATTATAACCTTATGATTCCACCAGTGCACACGTGGCTCGCTGGGCCTGGAACAGCATTATACAGTACATGATTCCATGAAAAGTTTCTAAGATTTCTCCCCCACACCTCCAGTTTAAAGCACATTCCTTCTCTGCATGCTACTTGCTATTCTTCTTGACAAAGAGGGAGTCAGGCCCAAGGCAAGAGAAAAGTTTTTAGCAAACTTTTATTTTTATATTCAAGATAAAGCATGTACACAATTGAATGTGGAAATAAATAACTAGAAATGCTTTGGAAACTTTCCCATTTCTCTCTCAAAACTGAGTTGTTTTATAAACTCATGAGTCTTTTTACTTGATTTTAAGAAATATGGCAACTATAATACCAAGAAAGAAAAAACACCACAATTTTGTACAGAAACATGTAGCCACCTCTGACTATAGGGTTTCAGCTTAATAGTAGCACAAAGAAAGCACACAAGACACAAAGACTCTTCAACAGATTTACTCAAACTGCTTCGCTCGAGAAGAAAAGGCACAGATTTAAGGGGGTGACAATGATTATGAAGAATATAGTAAATGGAGGCTCAGCCAGTGACTTTATAAACTAAGTCAAGAAAATGAACTCCTTCCAATGATCTGCCTTCATTAAAATGAACTTTTAAATTAAACTGTATAAACATATGATATACAGTTGGTACTCAGGAAGTGTCTTTGTACAGCTCCTTATGTACAAATCTTTGTATACAGCTTCAGTGTTCCTGATACATTTCCTGCAACACACTGAGCCGCAGTCCCGAGTCCCCGGGGCCTCTCTGGCAGCTGTACGGCCCCTGGCTCTGCCAAAACAGCAGGGAAATAGGAGGGACCAGTCAAATGTAGTCATCTTCAACCGGCTCTCCATTGACATCACAGTAGTGGATAAAAATTGCCACCACTCGCTGAAACACCCCCTTCTTCATCTGACGCATCTCTGAAATTTCTTCTCCGATTGTCTCCATACAGATGTCTGCTGACAGCTGCCCTTTCCTTCGAGGAGCATAGATGGTGCCTTGGAAATTAGAAAGAAAAGGGGAAACGTATTATTATCAGATGCATTTGGAAAGCCGCTTGATTAAGCTGGTCCATGAGATGTGCCTCTATACGGTCATGCACTGCCATTGAGAAAGGTACAGCTCCTGGACTGGGTCCCCGTCAGCTTAGTTACATGCCCCATTTGATGCTAAGGCAGCACACATGATTAAAGGCCGGGGTGGAAATGCCCCAGAGAGACTAAGTCAGTCACAGACCTACATGGAGCTTTTAAAACCCATTTACTCATAAATTAGTTTTTTAAAACATCCTGCAAGTAGATATTCTATTGTGCTAACAACCAGAACTTCATTCAAAATGTCCTTCAAGTCCCTCTTCCCCCTCCTGAACATCTCCATCTAAATCCTAAGTTCCTACATGCTACCTAACAAGGTGCTGCTCATAAGTAGCAAAAGAATAGTGTGACTGGAACACATTTGAAATAATATAAGTGACAATAAGGAGTAACAACATTTATCAACAGGAAATTAAAAAAATCGATAGAAAAATCTGTCTGAAGGAATCCTTCCCACCAACCTTCAGAGATCCCTCGTAAGATTATTTATTGCTGGGAGAGAACTAAGCAATAACACAACACAAATTAAAACATCCACATAGGAAGTGAGTTAACAGCCACACTGCTCCCAACTCTCAAACGATACGTAAGTATCTAACACAGCAGGACACGCTCAAACCAGCGAACACAAATCAAGTCAGGTCATAATTACTTTCTTCATCATCTTCGAAATCGTATCTGGCGAAGCTGTTGGGTTCTGCTGCCCGTAGTGATCTCAACCAGGGGAAGTCAGAAATCATGGAATACGGAGCGCCATCCACAACCCCTGGAAGGAGACAGATGAACAGTGCTACTGCTGCGGAGGCAACGGCAGGGCAACACGCAGCATTCTGTAGGCAGAACATCAATGTGCTTTTGTCCCTTTTTCATGGCTGAAAAAGCACTGGACCAGTGCTGGTTTGCTCCTACTTGGTCATGGGATCTTGCTCACCCTTTGCTTTCATTAAGCCTCAGTATTTTTCTCTCTATATGTATAAAATAAAGAAGTTGAAGCAGGTGCCCTCAAGTCACTTCCAACTCTCAAACTATAGCAAGTTTCAATTTTCTTCTACTCTTCGTTTGGACACAGTTTCTGATTAGTTTAGGGATGGTAAAGACTCAGTCTGGGAGAGAGCTTTTACCTGGTTCCTGCTACCTGCAGACACTCAAAGACTCCATCACTCTGCCTCCCTTAAGGATCCCATTCCTATCTTCGCTAAGGCATGCCTCTCCATCCAGTTAGTTAACAGCTCTTTAGCTTCCCAGCCATCTAACTGCTCACCTTCTAAAGTATAGATGTCTCGGCCCCAGGGGTACTTGGGGTACTTCTTCAAGTCATCTTCAGTTCGTGAGGCTTCGGGGAAGAATTCATACTTAATGAGCTCTCTAGAGGCAACAAGAAAAATCAAACAAAAACTATAAAACTGGAAATAATGTTGAGGTGTGGGGTACAAAGGAACTGTCAAAATTGTGCCAGGCCTAGATTCTAATGACTATCTCAGGAATTAAATATGAAATACCTAACGGAAGAAGGACACACTCAAACTAGAGAATACACATCTAGTCAGGTCAGAAGAACTTTCTTCACTATCTTCAAAATCCTATCAGGTAAAGAAACCATTGTCCAATCAAATATCTTGTGTGTGGTGCTTAATGTTTATATATCAAGAAGTCTAATTTTCTGATGATGTAAAACATTAGTTTTAAGATTTTTAATCTGACCTTTTTTTCCATGCCCTAGGGTTAAAGAAATGAAGTCAAACGTTCATGTACAGTCTGTTCTTGAAATTTTTCTTTACATTTGAAAATAAAAAACTGCAGATACACATGTATGCTTTTTAGTGTAAGTCCTCATTCCCTCAGTTTCTCACATTGCATTTCATGCTTCGCCTTAAAAGCCCCATGAGACCATTTAAAATAAAGAATAAGTAGGACTTGTTTCCATGGCCCTCGCTCGCAAGAGGAACTGAAGAGGCTGGGGGCCACGGGTTACTTACTGATTGATGTTTGCTATGGTGTCCATCCAGCTGCGAATGCGCACCTTGTTCCGCACATTGGGAGGGTTACTGAACTCATGGATGATACAGATGTGGTAGGGGTAGGGGCCACTGAACAGCTTCTGCTCCAATGTCAGCGTGTCCACCTATGTAAGAAGCAGAGCGCACTGTGGGCCCAGAACAGAATTACCGAGAACTCTACCTCCTAGAGCCTGGACAATCTTTCCTGGGACCTACATTTTAAAATCTTTGCTGATTTGAAAATCAAATATCACATTCAGTCCTGAACATAGCTTGCCATGCTGGGGGTGAGGCTTAGCAAATTCTTCTCTCTTGCAAGCTCAGTGACTTACATATCTCTGTTAAATAAATGCCTATTAAACAGAGCATCCAGAATTAGGTAACTGATCCCAGGAACCCACATCTGAGTATGTCCTTCACAGGCTCAAGTATTGATTGCATCATAGACAGAGTGTGCAGTACCAGATGCCCTATTCAAACTGATTCCAGCTGCCTGCCCCCTCGCAGCCTGTGTTCACATTGCTTTCTTCTCATGGAACGCCTCTTCCTCACCTCTCCTTATGAAATCCCACTCTGCCATCTCAGTGACATTCACACCTACCTCCTTCTCAGAAAGACTTCAGGGAAGTGTTTTTTTCAGGCCCAGAATATTAGAGACACTCAACAAGCAATTTGTTTGTTCAAATCTCTCTTATGGGGCCAGACTCTGACACTGACTGTAAAGACTGTTTAATGATTCCTTTCAGCTTTCTTTACGCATTAAGCACAGTCTTACATATAATGCTCACTTTATTTTTTGTTTTAATGAGAAATAATTGACACACATCACTGTATAAATTTCAGGCACACAGCATGTTGGCTTGGTTTACGAATATTTTGAAATTATTACCCCAACAGGTTCAGCTAACATCCATAATTTCATATAGATACAATAAAAAGTTTACTCTTCATAATAATGAAAATAATGATTGCTACTACATGCCAGCAACTGCTCAGCACTTCACACGTCTAAATTAACCATCACAAGAACTAGGTTTTTATTCTACTTTTACAGATGGAACTAAGACAGAAGTTAAGTAATCAGCTACAAGTCAGTAAACCAGGATTTGAATCAGGCAGTCTGAAAACAGACTTGTTGAGTAATAATTGCCCTCATCACAGAACTTGCTAAAAATCCACAAAACTCTAGCAGAGAAGCATGAATGAAGATCGGCAAAGTCTCCTACCTAGGTTAAAAGAATTCTTTAGAATCTAAAGAATCATCACTGTGGGTTGAGCATATGAACATGCCAAATCCACAAAGGTTGAAGACTAAGAAAAAATATCACTGCAATACATGTGTCATCAAAAAGGGGCTGAGCTTGGTACCTGCTGCATTGGGCGTAGGTATATGATGCGGTTTCTATCAGGAGGAATCCGTAGTATCTGGTCTAGTACCTGATCCATGTTCAGTTTCTTGCATTGTGCATAGTCAAATCGGTTTACAAGTGGTGCATTTTCTACTTTTAAATGCTTCAGTACCCTGCACCTGGTAGCTACAAAATGAAAACAATGGTAAGTTCTACAAATAATTTATGCAAAGTAATAGAGCAATGTATAGCCTACTTGGAATCATCTTTGGAGGACTGGCCAACTTCCTTAGCATAAAATACCAGAGATGTAATAAACATCTTTAACAACGGTCACGTAATGTCACAAAGTACAACCAACAGTTATCACAATAATCTGAAAATGTGATTCCATCCTGTTTAAAAGGTGGTGGTCACCCATATATATGCTAGAGGGATGTTAAGGTACCTTTTCCTATCTAAGAGTTTACTGGCAAGGAATCTTAAGACCCATAGAATGAGTTGCCTAAACACAGGAATTATTCAGGAAACATTTACAGAAAAGAATGAATGATGGGAATATTAAATTCTAAAATATTATGGGAAATGATCACATAAACCTGGAATAATTGACATATATTACCTTACAGTCACCCACAGAAAATGAAGAGTTGATTTTAACTCCCATCGCAGATATAAAAGCAGAACCTTAAAAGATCCAGCAATATTTGTATATGTTGGTCTGAAGCTGGACAGGCCACTGTGGTTGCCACTAGCCACCAGCAGCTATTTAAATTTAAATGAATTAAAATGAACAACTCAGTTCCTCCAGCACTAGTCACAGTTCAAGTGTTCGACAGTCACATGTGGCCAATGGCTACAGTATCCAACAGTACAGGAATAAAATAGTATGCCACATTGAAAAACAAATCTCTTTCCTTTTTCCAATCTCAAATTTCAATCTGTTCCATTTTATCCCAGAATTAACCTGGTCCAACTCAAGAGAAAATACTATAAAACTATAAGGCTGATATGCCTGATCTTAACTCGTTAAGGGCATCTTCTGTATCGCCTTTGACCAAAATGCCATCATTGTCCCGAGCAATCTGGCCCTGTAATGAACTTGATGTTTGAACAATGAGCAAGTCTCCAGCCTTTCAGACTTGTTTCCTCCTTCTGTGACATGGCAGGAGACAGGAAAGGAGGAAAGACAGAAAGAGGACTAGATGGTGATAAGGGTTCAATGGTTCTCTGCTGTAAACACAGAGGGCTAGGTTGGTTCTAATCTCACTTAGTCATCTCAGCCCCCCCATAACTTAGCTGGTGTCTAGGGACTGAGCTACTTATCTAAGGTCCTCTGTCCCAGGAGCTGAAGAACTATTTGGTTTAAGGGCAAAAAGCTGAGCCTGAAAGTCATGTGATTCACCACTAAGTTCACAAAAGATACAGGGAGAGTCAAGTGCAGAGAAAACCAGTCAGATTCTCAGAGCACTCACAGTAGAAAAAGGAATGAGAAGTCAACCCCCAGAGAAGAGGGTTGAGAGGTAAATTCTCAGACCTCAGAGGGCAAAGCTGCAAGCATTGCTGTCTTAAACTAGGCTGAGTTCCTCTGCTGCTATGATCTTCTGAGTATCTAAAGGGCTCCTGTTCTACTTTAGGAGGACACTACAATAGATTATAATTTACTAGAGGCCCAGTGCACGAAATCCATGCACTTGGGATGGGGGAAGGGGTGTCCCTCAGCCTGGCCCTCTAGCAGTCCAGGAGCCCTCGGGGGATATCTGACTGCCACGGAGGCGGGAGAGACTCCCACCACCGCTGCTGCGCTCATCAGCTGTGAGCTTGGCTTCTGGCTGAGCAGCACTCCTGCTGTGGGAGTGCACTGACCATCAGGGGGCAGCTCCTGCATTGAGTACCTGCCCCTTGGTGGTCAGAGCGCATCATAGCAACCGGTCGTTCAGCCATCGGGCTGAAACTGGCTATCCGACATCCCCCGAAGGGTTCTGGATTGCGAGAGGGTGCAGGCCAGGCCGAGGGATCCCATTGTGCACGATCAGGGCTGGGGAGGGACGTGGGAGGTTGGCCAGCCAGGGAGGGACCTCGGGAGGGCTCAGGGTGTGTCTGGCCCATCTCAGTCAGTCAGTCCCGATTGGCTGGAAACCAGCAGCAAGCTCACCTACTGATCAGAGCATCTGCTCCCTGGCAGTCAGTGCACGTCATAGCAACTGGTCATCCGTCTGGCCCCTGGTGGTCAGTGCATGTCAGAGCGAGCAACTGAGCAACCTTAGCATATCATTAGCATATTACGCTTTGATTGGTTGAACGGCTGACCAGACGACAGGACACTTAGCATATTAGCCTTTTATTATATAGGAGAATTAGATGTTTCAGGACCTTATTGGTTGGAACAGAGAAAAGTACCACCTCTTAAGAGTGAAATGAACCTAGGGTTCCCAGATCTGGTGTTTTCTAGAATTCAAGGGAGTGGTTAAGTGTTTAAATGTTTTATTTCTCCTTTCTAAGATTCTCCTAGTTTATGACAAAATATTTGGTAACAAGAAATGATTTTCTTGTTCTGTTTACTACCAGTATTACAGAAGAAGTGCAAAAAAAAAGAAAGCCCCTAATTATTTTCTTTGCAATACTAATATAACAGAAATTAACATTAGGCTTTTACTAGAGGTCAGACCCTCTACTGTATGTGCATATATTATGTACATATACATACCCACATATCAATTACCACATTTAACCTTCATAAGTGCTTTATAAGGTAAGCATAATCATGCATACTTTACAGACTGAAAAAAAAAAACCCACAGAGAATATATAATTCCCATGGCAAGACATGATTCAGATCCTCACAATTTTACATGGATAGCTATCAAAAATATAATTTTGAGTGGAATGGAAAAACAAACAGATCATGTAAAGGACATATTATGTACCTAGAATTTTAAAAGCTCACACAAAATAATACCCTACTATTTGTTCAGAGATAAACATGTATACAAGCAAATACATGGAAGGCTATATATTAAATACACGGGCATAGATGGAGGGAGCCGATGGGATTGGCAAAAAGGGGCAGGGCACATGGGACTACAAAGAAAAGCGGGGCTTAGAATAATGATAATAGGCCATGAACTGAGGTTAGGCTTAATCATGTCAACTCCAGAGCAGTGAGGCACTTAACGGCCCAGTTACCGCTTCTCCCAAAACATCTGCACGCAAAACATGTCCAACATCACAAAGATAGCAAATGGCAGAGACAGGCCCCTCGCAAATACTACTGAGTAATTATTTGAGAACTACAGAACGAGGACAGAATTAGATATAATCCAACATAATGATTCCTTTATGCGTCCTTAATTCTTTAAACTCCTTCATGATGCTCTTGTATGACATGGGCCCAAATACATACCATGGATGAACATCATCTTGGGACAGTCTTTTAGCACCAGATCTGTGATTCCACAGTTGGTCATAGTGACTCCAACAAGATTTTTGGACTTTAACACAAGGACCTATAGAGGAGAAAGTTTTTTAAGTTAGATGTCTTTTTCTGTACTTTCTTTGGAAAACTTAAATGTTTTCACTGGCACAAGTGAGAAGCCGTTGTTACCAATTTCTTCCACTTAGAGTAAAAAAAAGTATATAAAGATGGAAACTTCAGTTCCTTTACATTATTCAGGACCCTGGCTGGCCTGAAAGGTAAGGGAGGGCTTTTTCTTCACCTGCACATGGTCATCCTCAATCACAGGATCACTGGTACTGGTGGACTTATCTGCTGTCCGCTTCCGCTTCATAGTATGCCGTGGCTTTGTTTTCGCAACCTCTAGAAAAAGCAAGAGGAACATGGTCCCCAATGGAATACAGTCAGACCACTACTTCCAACTGACTGTTCCCAAACAAGATCGCCCTCCATTACCGCAAACACAGGACCCTTTTCATCCCTGGGGCATTCTGACAATCTAAGGAACATTCCCATCTCTAGTCACTCAAACCAACTGAAATATTATTGGTGAATTAAACTCCCCAGTTTCCTGCTAAATAACTGTAAGTTCTCGACTACCTATTAATACATGCATTTCAATGCCTGACATTTAGAGTGATGCTTTGTCTCCACCTGTTCAGTTTTATTCCATACTATTATCCAATCACCTCCCATTGCCAATGCCTCTGACACCATTAATCATTCTAGCTCCTTCTCCCAGAACAACTTTCCAGACTTCACTTTTGAAAATACTACCCATCCCTGAAAAGACCATCTCAAATGCTACCTGCTCTTTCAAATCACCTGGATTCCCAAACATTATATAGGGTTCTGTAATTCCCTGTATACCTGTTTTGTTTCTCCATTTAAACTAAAAGCTCTTTAAAGGCAACATTACTGTCTTATTTCATTTTTGTATCAATGTCAGCTATTAGCAATGAGCTAAAATGAACATTTATTGAATGAATGGCATTCAGCATTCATTGAATGAATGAATGCATTAGAGCAGCAGTAGCCAACCAGTGGTCCGCAGACCACCGGTGGTCCGTGAGGTCCGAAAGATTGGCAACCGCTGCATTAGAGATAAGTTAAGTGAGATAATAATAATAATAGCAAATATTTACTGAGCACCCACTCTGTGTCAGGCACTTTTCTAAGGGTTTCTTACAACAGCCCTTTGAGAGAGATTTATTATTCTTATTTTACAAATCAAGAAACTGAGACATGGGAAGCTTGTGAAGATGTAACTGGTAGAACCAGGAGCAAAACTCAGGCAATCACTATGTTAGAAAACTTGTAATCCTTTATCTCCCAAACCCTAGTTGGTAAGGCACTAACTCAGTGGTCAGCAAACTGCGGCTCGGCAAACCGTGGCTCACGAGCCACATGCGGCTCTTTGGCCCTTTGAGTGTGGCTCCTCCAAAAAATATCATGTGCGGGCACGCATGTACAGTGCGATTGAAACTTCATGGCCCATGCACAGAAGTCGGTATTTTGTGGAAGAGCCACACTCAAGGGGCCAAAGAGCCGCATGTGGCTCGCAAGCTGCGGTTTGCTGACCACGGCCCTAACTCATTTGCTAGTGTTGTTACAAAACATTTTGCTTAATTTGCAAAGTAAATATGATCTTAAATATAAGTTCTCAATTCATCTCTAAAACTTAACAAGCACATATATATTCTAAACAAGACATGGAAAGCCAGTCCTTGTTTTTGATATTCATTCTCTAGCAAAGGAGACACGGATAAAGTAAGATTGAGCTTCACAAATGAAATCCTATCATATTGCTTTCACACACCACTTCTAGACTACAACACTTCACTTGGTAATTCTTCAACATCAGACATGAAAGATAGGCAAACAAGGTGCCAATTCCCAAAGGCGTGGGGTTAGATGGGAACTCTAAAGAGTTAGTTCAAGTGTGTGTTTTTGACATACCAGAACCTTTCCTCCACCATCTGAAAACTTTGTGAAATTTTACCATGCAAAACAACTGAAATCAGCTGCTTTGGATGAAGCTTAAAAGGGAACCCAAGAGTTCTACCCATCAAACTTCCTCAAATGACCCTGAACCCAAGTAAAGCCCAGGGGTTCTGGAAAAACATAAAAACTCTTGATCTAGGAAACCCAGTGAAGGCCGCTTTCCACAGTATTCCTGCAGGAACTTCGTGTAAAATCTAATTATCTTCATTAACAAGGCATCTTCTAAAGGCGGCATAATTCACGTAACAGACAAAATTCACACACTTTTTACAACCAATAATAGGTCCTGGTTCCCTCTCCCCAAACCACAAAAATGAAAGGGAACAAACACACAAAAAGCACGTCTGTTTCCTTTCTTTTGTGACAGTGTTCAGAACAGAATTCTCTATTAGCGTTCTCCTTTCACAATCCAATTTTCAAACTCTCATGTTCCTGGATTGCTCTCTCCCCTCCCCTTTAATTCATCAGAATAAGTGGTTCAAAATTAAATCTCTTGCTCTCCAGAGTGCCCACACTGGCTGTTTATGTTTTCTAAGAAAAGTTATAAAACGAAATCACACTTTATATATCGATAACCTTGAAAAACAAAGGCTTCCCAATGTAAAAGGAAAATAGAGTTCACCCTGTTTTCTTACACCACCTTCTTTGTGTAGAGATAACTGTTAGTGATTTCATACATACATCACAGCGATTTTCAACCTTACTCATCTTATGGCACACACAAAGTAATATCTAAAATTCTGCAGCACACCAAAAATATATTTTTTGACCTGACAAAAAAAAATGGGTATAATTCTGATTCATTTACACTAGATGGCTACTGTGTTGGTCGTTATCATTTTTAATTTGACAATCTTAGGAAAAGAGGTCAGTGTCCCTATTTAAATAGGTATTGCTTATTTAAAAAATTCTTGCAGCACACCGGTTAAAAATCGCTGATCCACCAGCACCAACATACCTCAAATGATGGTTCCTACCACTGATTAAGTTCACAATTATTCACTGAGCCCCATTATTCTAGAAGCTGGGCATATGATAGCGAACAAGCAGACATTGTCCTTGCCCTCACAGAGCTCATAGTCTATTGGAAAGACAGTAAAACACGAATTACAACATAGTGTAGTTAATATTAGGTTAGAAGGTGCTACGGAAACACAACTGGTTTGCTAAAGCAAACCAATCCAGTGTTAGGTGTCAAGGAAAAAAGTTAGTATTTTATAAGAATCATACCATATCAATCCTAAATGTTATTCTTTGACAATCCAATTACTTATTTTTGTGATATTTATTTTACAAAGTATTATACAATGAGGATAAAAAAAAACTTACAGGCATTTATTATCAAAATAGGAATTCACAAGACAAATAACTATATTAGCTTCTAACATGGTTTTAACACTACATAAGGCCATAAATTGAAAACTAAGTAAAAAACTCAAATGTTTTCTTTAAAGTAATTTTTTAAAAATCCAAAACACTCAATCAAGTTTGTTCCTTTATGAGTTAGATTTTTCTCCATAAAACTTTTAAAGCATGATGGCAATAGATATAAAAAACATGCTAGAGTAAAAATAAGATCAAAGCCATCCAAATAATTTGTTCTTCTTTCCAAAAGATCTGGATAGTATTAAAAGCAGCACTATGACATATCTCCAGAAAATTGTTATTGAAAGTAAATAATCAACCAAAGGACTTGTATCCATGCATATAAGCATAACCAATGGACACAGACAGTAGGGGGGTGAGGGCATATGCCGGGTGGTAGGAGCATCTGGGAAGAGATCAAAGGAGACATATATAATACTTTCAACAATAAAGAACTTAAATTTTTTTAAAAAAGAAAGTAAATGGACATTTGTATTGTGTGTAAAAAATATTAGAAAATAATTAACCTAGCCCTAACTGGTCTGGCTCAGTGGATAGAGCATCGGCCTGTGGACTGAAGGGTCCCGGGTTCGATTCTGGTCAAGGGCGTGTACCTTGGTTGCAGGCTCGATCCCCAGTGGGGGTTGTGCAGGAGGCAGCTGATCAATGTTTCTCTCTTAACTCTCTATCCCTCTCCCTTCCTCTCTGTAAAAATCAATAAATTATATTTAGAAAAAAAAAAGGAAAATAATTATCCTACTATTTACACATCAGCTACATACATGAGAAGTTATCTCAAATAAAAAACAACATGATAACTAATGTAATTTACTTAAAAAAGTAAAAAGTGCTATAAGAAACCTTTTTTTAAAAAATTCTTGGGAATTATTTAACCTAAGAAATGGTTCTAGTCACAAAACAAGTCAGAAGGAAATAGTAAGAGGGATAGCAGAACACACACACACACACACACACACACACACAAAGAAGCAAAGCCCCCTATCTCCCTACGGTTAATATAAATGATCTATGTTAAAAACAAAAATAAAACAAACCAAAACTCCCAAAACAGTAACAACTATAAAATTTTACCAGGAGACATAAGACAAAATAGGAGACAAAGTAATAGTTTCCAAATAGGAAGGCTCAGTGCTGCAAAAATTACAATAATCTTTTCAATCAATGTAATAGAATTCCAAACAAAAACAAGATTTGCTTTTAGAGCTTGACAAAGTTATTTTAAAATACAACTCTAAAAAGTAAATGATAAAATATGACCAAAGAAATTTTGACAAAGAATAATGAAACAGGATAGAGCAGAGGAACAGAATCGAATGCCTAGAGATAAACTTAAGTGTATCAAAGGTACGAGATAAAAGAGCATTTCAAAATAATGACATGAGAATGGATGTCAATAAATAGTACTGACACAACTTGGTGACAATTTGAAGTAAAATATCAAATTAGTTCCCACAGATTAAAATAAAGAATTAAAATAATAAACAAATAAATGAATAAACAAATACAGAAATGTGAACAATTATTTGAAACAGTTGTAGGAAAGGCCTTCCATAGCATAAAAACAAAGGGAAAAAACCATAAAAGTAAACACATAGATCTGACTTTACAAATGAAAAAAAGCTATCAACAAAAGTATCCTAATGGGGAGTTTCTGTTTAATGGGGAGTTGCCGTGTATGGGGAGTTTCTGTGTATGAGCACAAAATTTCCATTTGGGATGATGAAAAGTTCAGATGGATGCTGGTGATGGTTGTACAACAATATGAATGTGCTTAATGCCAATGAACTGCATACTTCAAAAAGGTTAAAATGGTAAATTCCATTATGCATAAAAAATATCATAAAGCATTTAAAATTCAAGCCAGTCATCATGACAGAACTAGTTTTTGCAAAGCATAATGAAATCTTCAAACAAAACTCATATATATGTTTTAATATGAGTTTATGCTACTATGAGAATTAGCACATAATTAAGTTCTCATATTTATCTTAAAAGAGCTTATTTTTTGTTAGTTTAATTCCACATGATGCAATCAGGTCTACTTAGTATATAAAAAACATAAACTCTATGTGTTGGGGGGATTGTAAGATTTTGAAATTGAGGGAAACTTGGATAAAATTAAAATATATTATTATTTATTGATAGGTACACATGACTTAATAAAGACAGAGATAACTTAAAGATAAAGTCTGATATAAATAGAATTATGACTAAGCAATGTGCTCACCCCACCCAACTCAATTCCTTAGTTTTCACATTATAAATATTAATGGAATTATATACATTTATTTTGAGTATAACTTTACCAAAATAATCCTCAGCTAAACTACTTACCTGCTTATATCCTGGCAAATGTAACTAGAAACAAAACTATACTTCAGAAAACATTACTAGGTAACCACAGAGGCAGATGTAGGGGTATATCCATACATGTTCCCACAGCCCCAGCCACTTCAGGTCCTTACCTTCTGGCTAAGGTTCAAAACGTCACCCACAGTGAGACTTCCCTAGTGTGGGGGGTGGCAGTAGAGTTTATCCATTGGGGCTTACACATCAAAATCAGTGTTGTGTTTAGGGTCAATATACACAGTAATACTTTTTTCTTAGAAACAACTTCCTGAGTTTTCCTGTGTTGGATGCTTTACAAGCTGTTTTACACACCCTTCCCTCCCCCAATCACTGCTGAAAATTAGCTCAAAATCTGTAGGATCACAGAACACCAACATAGAATTCAGTTTGCCTCACTGGATTTATGTAGGAAAATGTATGGAATGAGCTAATGCCCTTCTCCAGTCCTAACCTGCAGTTGCTAGTCCTGGCAGCATTGTCATACCTGACTCAGATACCAGCGGTACATGGGAGAGTCTGCTCCTGGCCCTTGTTAGGGGCCTCCGAGGGTAGTCTTCATTAGACTGCACGTCACAGCTCTCAGGCTGGGAGCTCCCCCTCCTGTCCTCACCTGTAGCCCCAGAGCCACTCCCATTAGTCCTCTCATCATGTGCTGGGCCTGAAGACCCCCCTTGTGGCAGAGTCCTAAAGGAAAAGGCGGATCTCGTACCATCCGGGCCATTCACAACACAGGCTCGGCTGGTTGAAGGACGTTCCTCATCAGAACACCTGCTAGTTCTCCTTTGGGATTCCTGGGGCCTGTGACAGCAGCATCTGGGGCAGACAGCACTCTCTGCATCTCCCTCCTCCATGGCCTCAGAGTCCTCTGACCCAGCGGGGGAGCAGACACTTTTCCGCTGCTGTTCACCGTCCTTACACAGTCAGGGCTTTGAGAAGCAGTGCTGAGTGAGCTGGAGTTTCCCACTGTGCTGGCGGTGGTGCTGCTGCAGCTGGGATACACATCCTTGTTTTTTTTCTTTTCAGGAATATCCCTAGCTGCTTTCATATCGGCTTTGATCTGCTCACTGGTGACCTGACAGCCTTTCTCACAGCTGCTTTCCTCGAGGGGAAACTGCTTCGATTGGCCCATCTGATGGGAGTTGTACCTCTTTCGAAGTGGAGTCTTGCCTTTTCCACTTACTGCTTATAGAAAAAGAAGAATGGCCCAAGGAAAAGAAAAGATTTCAGTACAAATTCTGGACAAAAGGCAAGAATAAATTTGGAACAGGAAACAATGCACACTAATTTTCCTAAAGTATAATGGTGACCACATCACTCAGTTACTCAAAAATTCTCTATGGCTTCCTAGTGCTTTCTAGGTTTATACTCCTCAGCTCAGTATGATCTGATTTCATACTTATATTCTATTCTTCTCCCCTCTGCATACATCCTATACCCCAGCCCAAACTTTTCCCCAACTATACCCCTGCCTTACTCCCTCAGGGCCTTTGTTCTCACCAATTCTTCAGCCTTGGACCTCTGTTCAATCTGTTCTGCACCCCCACCCCCAAAACCACTGTAATACATTCCCTGTGGTATTATTATACATGTTTCTGACCTGACACTTCAATCAGACTTGAGGTTCCCCAGAGAGATTATGCCTTACTCATCTCTATCCCTCATGGCATCTAACACAGTTCCTGGGGCACGGTAAGGCTCAATGAATATATAAAGGATACATAAACAAATCATGTTTTATCAGGCTGGCAGAAGATCTAGTTTCTACATTCAGAAACTGAACTTTCTAGGAGACATAAGTTAACCAGCTGGTCACACTACTCCTAATTTCAGTTTCCATTAAAGCTCCTTTCAACCACAGTGTAAAGATATCGAATTTCTTAAAAGGCATAAAATAAGAATTGTGTGATTAGTCAATGGTGAGTAAATTTCCCCAGTCTCAAGAACTGAGCTTTCCGTACACAGAAGTGTATATATATTTCAGGTTTTGTGTTAAATGTATAATGAACTAAGCATTCAAACATATAAAGGGGAGAGTACCCAAGAAAAAAAAGAGTGCAGAATTTTTAAAACCTCATCCTTTGCTGAAAGCGGTAAGCATATGGTTCTGAGAAACAAGAGGAAAGGAAAGACAAGGAAGTACGAACCTAAAAGTTAAGAGAATTATAGTTTTCTGGTGAAGCAAATGGCAGAAGGCTGTGGACCAGATTTGAAGAGAGGCAGGGGATTATAGGAACATACCCAAAAGGACTCTCCAAGCACCAAACCAGCCACCAACATTCACTAAGCACAACTGGACAGGTTATGAGCTGGGGAATGTCTGTGTGCTCATTCCTCTGGATGGCTCATTGACTAAGCCCTCTCTAACCCCTAACCCCTTGACATCTCCACTTCCTAAAAGCCTTAGGAGTCACAGTCCTCATGTCTTCTCTTCCCGGAGCCCCAACTCCACAATATTTTTGTTGTGCTCCACTCGCCCTAGATAGCACACCCTGATTCCACTCTCATTTGAGCTACTGCCTTTCCTGCTCCTGTCACATTTCGTAAGGAGATGTGAACTGAACCACAAGCCATGGTGGGACATCTGATATAAATAAAGGTCATGTGTGTCGGGACTCATGACTCTCACTTAGTAGGTCGGGGCACGACAAAATCTCTCACCTGACAATTCCCTGGACTGCTCTGACTCTCTCTTTTTTTCTTCCCGCTCAGAGAAACGCCGAGTACCATTCTTAGGAATCCAGACTTCTTGGAGCTCTAGACTATCTTCCTCATCATCACTCTCTGAATCATGAACAGTAATTGGGGTTGGTTTTACTACACGCTGAAGCCCACTGGGTCCTAAAACAAAAAGCACAGGAGTAAGTTATTTTTTTGCCCAAGAAAAGCTCTCATTCTAAGTACTGTTTCCAGGAACCTGGGCTCACACACATGCTTTGGTTCTATGGAGCCTCCCTTATCACTCATTTTAATGGAATATACATTTGGATGAGATACTGTGAAAGCACTTTAACTCTAAAGCATTATATAAACATTAAGTATGATTAACATGTCAACAAACTTTATACATTTCTGAAGACAAATTAAAACAGATTATATGGCCTCTCCCTACAGGATCTTCACTATTTGAAAATGTCATGTAAGTCGCCCTGGCTAGTGTTTCCCAATGGTTATAATATCGGCCCATATACCAAAGGGTTTTGGATTTGATTCCTGGTCAAGGGCACTTACCTGGGTTTCAGGTTCACTCCGACCCCCAATTGGGGTGCATGTGGGAGTTAACCAGTCGATGTGTCTCTCTCAGCATTGATGTTTCTCTCTCTTTCTCCCCCTCCCTCCCTTTTCCCCTCTCTCCCTATCTCTATGAAAAGCAATGGAAAAAATATCCTCAGGTAATAATTAACAAAAAAAGAAAAGAAAGAAAAGGAAAAGTCACATAAATCATGCTAATATCCTATCTAATAAAAGACAAAAATGGTAATTGGCGTACGACCAATACCCTTTTCATTGGCTAATCAGGGCTATATGCAAATTAACTGCCAACTAAGATTGGCAGTTAACTGCCAACTAAGATTGACAGTTAACTGCCAACAAGATGGCGGTTAATTTGCATATGCAGGCACAATGCAGGGAGGCGAAAGGGAAAGAAGAAGCCCCCCCCCTGCCACTAACAGTGATCGGAAACCCAGGGGGGAGCTAAGAGCCCTGGGGGCCGCCTTTGCCCTGCCGTGGGTGGGGGGCGGAGCCGGGGGTTGGGAGGATATGATGGTCCCCTTGCCCAGGCCTGAAGCCTGGATCAGAGGCGTCAGGCTTGGGAAGGGAGTGGAGCAAGTGATCAGAGGGAGATGGGGGTCCCCTGCCCGGGCATGATTCCTGGGCCAGAGGCCTCAGGCCTGGACGGGGACCAGAGCCAGTGATCGGAGGGAGAAGGGGGTCCCCTGTCTAAGCCTGACACCTCTGGCGGAGGTGTCAGGCCTGGGCAAGGGGCCGATCAGGTGATCAGAGGGTGATGGGGATCTACGCCTCTGGCCGAGGCATCAGGCCTGAGCAAGGGGCAGAGCCAGCAATCGGAGGGGTCTGGGGGTCCCCTGCCCAGGCCTGATGCCTGGGCCAGAGGCATCAGGCCTGGGCTGGGGGCAGAACCAGTGATGAGGGGAAATGAGGGTCCCCGCGTCTATCAGAGGCGTCAGGCCTGGGCAAGGGGCCGATCCTGCGATTGGAGGGTGATGGGGGTCAACGCCTGAGGGCTCCCAGTATGTGAGAGGGGGCAGGCTGGGCTGAGGGACACTCCCCCCACACACATACCAAGTGCATGAATTTCGTGCACCGGGCCCCTAGTAATCAAAATAAGAGTCATGATAATCATCTTTCAAATAGGCTGTTTTTTCAATTTTGCAAATGTACAAAGAAGGCAAAGGAAATGAAGATGAACCTCAGACATCTATGGAACTCTCTGCATTCTTTAACAGAATGTAGATCTATCTCATTGGATGCACCTACAGGCTAGATGCACCATTACAGTTTGGTTGAATATTTATAGGTATGTAAAAAATGTTTAATCTGCTTGGCACTACACACAGTAAACCAGAGCCAATTTTCTCTGGAGAGTGACTGATTTTCGCTCCATCAATAAAATGTAAGCTCCAAGGAACCTGACCTATATTTTTCTTGTTAACATTGTGCAATTCCTGGCAAAGAATAGGCACTCAATACTAGTTAAGTAACTGCATCTATAAGACACTTAAAACAGGGTACACATATTTTCAACTCAAAGACAAGGTAGCCTTCCAATAAATCAGGAGTGAAATAATTTTAGATCTAATCTCAATTCTGTCCCTTGCTCACTGACTGAGTGGTCACGGACAAAAACTTTCTGACTTGTGAAAGAATATTAGTTTCCCTACTGCATAATGAAGGGTGGTATTAGATCATCTTAGGGGCCTTTGACTATAGCCTGCCATAAGTCAACCAGAGCAAAAGTATCTATTTACTAAACCAGGTCAACTCTCCACTGCTTCCCCTCAACACCAAAATGAAGGGAGAGGAGAAGCAAAATATTTAGTCAGGTCATTTATTTTCCCATTAACAATTTGAGTGCTTTCTTTCTGTGCGCGGGCACACACACACGGCATATGCCAATAAAGTTATCGTCACAGTCACAAAAAATTAAGAGCAAACTTTAGTAAAATATATATAAAAGTAGCGAGGACGACACAAATATAATATATAATAAATAGCACATAACATATCATTAGCTGTAATGTAAAAAAAAAAAAATTAACCATTCTTAGTGTTTTACTTCATTAGTTAGGCCCTAGTTTTCACAACCATGACTGTGGGAAGTCACATGGTTACCTGCTTGTTCCTCATCAACATCCACAGGAAGAACTGCCTGACCGTGAGCTGGAGTCTCATGTCCACTCTCAGCCATCACCTCTCCATCTTCTTGCACCATGTCTTCCATCTCATTCAATGCTTAAATAAAAATAAACAAAGTCAAACTAGGAAAGGTCTAAGAAAACCACAAAGGCAGCCCAAACAGGGCATCCCTGAGAAATGAACACCCCCCCTGATTATTAGGCCTACTTTGGAGAAATATAAAATTGTGCTTCACTATATTAACAAGAAGTGGCCAACTGTTCTGTCGGAGAGGAGGGATCACTTCGTGGAGAAAGCCCATCACTGTAAGATGAAAGCAGGGACAAAGTCACACAGCTGAGAGAAAACACCATTTTCATTCCTGAAGATGCTATCAGAGATGGCTGTACCAGGCAACTGTTTGTCTCCCTTTAAGCTATTTGCTTTAAGATAGGAAGAGCCACCTACTGGAAGACCTTAGGATCATCTTATAAGTAATTAGTTTCATAGTACCTGCCAACTAATCCAGGATGTTCTGGGTAGGCAAGCTCAAATTGTTTTTCCTTTCCTACTCCCTAGAGGCTCTGGTATCATTTTTGGCTAATGTGTGGCAAGGGTTACTAACAAATACACTAAGTACATTATTGACATTTTAATAGTATCCAAATGTTTAATTTACAACAAAGTCTTCACTAGTTACTAGTGCCTATCTATATATAAAAAAGCCTAAGCAACTGAACAACCTGTCGACTGGTTGCTATGATGCTTCACTGACCACCAGGGGACAGACGCTTAACGCACAGGATCGAGCTCCCTCCTGTTTGGATCAGGCCTGCAGGGATTGGTCCAAAACTGGCTATCTGACATTCCCCGAGGGGTCCCAGATTGCAAGAGGGTGCAGGCCAGGTCGAGGGACCCCACTGGTGCTGGATTTCGTGCACCGGGCCTCTAGTCAATAAAAAAAAAATGTGTACTTTTATATTTTTTCCAGAGGATAAGCACAGTGAACAATTTCAGGCTGCTAAGCTTCAATCAGTTTACTATAAGTACTAACGTTTCAATCAGTTTACCAGTCTTAAGATAAAATGGCCACTTTTCCAAGAGGACCCTAAATAAAAAATTGCTGGTTTTGCTAGCTTTTTAAAATTAAATCCAAATCCCTCAAGTCAGTATTCAGGGTACTAAATCCAGTACCCCCTGATAAGCCTGTGCCTTCTCTCAGTTTGAGTCAAGATAATACCAACACTATCCTACACCTTTACAGCTCAAGCTCAACTCAGAGGACAGCAGACGTCCACCTTGTTCACCACTATATCCTCAATGCTTAAGGATGTTCAATAACTACTGCTGAGAAATCAACCACCCAACCATTTGAGTTAGATGGAAAAAAAACAAAAGAGAATCCAGTTCCTGAAAGAATCTCCTTAAAGAGACAAGCCAGGTTAATGCAAGCTGATGAAGCTAAATACAACAGGGTAATAGAGAGTGGATGGCTTTGCTTCATTCTGGGGTTGGTCCAAAACTCATTAGAGGCCCATGTGTAAAAAGTTTTAAAATTCTACAGTAAGCCCTAGCTGGTTTGGCTCAGTGGATAGAGTGTTGCAGACTGAAGGGTCCCAGGTTCAATTTCAGTCAAGGGCACACGGCAGGTTGTGGGCTCAATCCCCAGTTGGGGGAGCGTGCAGGAGGCAGCCGATCAATGATTCTCTCTCATCATTGAGGTTTCTATTTCTCTCTCCCTCTCCCTTCCTCTCTGAAATCAATAAAAATATATTATATATATAAAAAATTCTACATTAAGGAAAGTAAACATGTCAATCCAAATTTTAATCTAGCTTTACTAATAATGCTAAATTTGCACCTAGAGTGGAAGCATCAATGTTAGTCATGTCAACTAATTCTCACTGATCCCTTTTAATTTTGAATCTTTGTGGCACTTTTTTTTTTTTAATTGCTCGGCCTTTCACAGCACAAGATCACAAGATCTCTGGTTTAACAAGACTGTACCTCAAGTATTTGGTTTGTGTGTAAGTCCCATACAAACTAAAAGCTTAAGTTTCTGTTAGTAGATTTGAGTTCCATTGTTCTCTCTTAAATCAAACACAATGTTCTTGCACATTTTGATCCCTGCTACACCAATAAGTGATTCACAATAGAAGGCATCCTCCATTATGCACTGAGAAACATATGGCCAAGTTAACTTTCCAGTGGAGTCTAGAATCTGTCCAGTAAATTAATTCCAACCACAAAGGGGTTCAGAGCAGCGGTTCTCAACCTGTGGGTCGTGACCCCTTTGGGGGTCGAACAACCCTTTCACAGGGGTCGCCTAAGACCATCGGAAACCACATATATAATTATATATTGTTTCTGTGATTAATCACTATGCTTTAATTATGTTCAATTTGTAACAATGAAAGTGGGGGTCACCACAACATGAGGAACTGTACTAAAGGGTCGCAGCATTAGGAAGGGTGAGAACCACTGGTTCAGAGGGTTTGGGTGGTTCTGTACTGCAGTTGCTGTCAGTTTCCCATGGATGGTCTATGTTCTCTTAAGTCCAGATCCTTATGGTGCCAGTGACCAGTATGATGACACTCAAGGACAAGGCAAAAGAGATATCTAACCTCACCTCACTCCCTCTTCTTAGCCCCCTAGCACCTTCTGCTCTGTACTTTTATTTGGGGGGGAGGGGGGCGGCAGAAATTTAGCTGTAGGTTTGAAATGTCTAAGAGTACTCAAGAGGAAATAAAACGGATAAAGCCAGATATAACTGAAATATTTAAAAAAGTAGAAAGATGCCCTAACCAGTTTGGCTCAGTGGATAGAGCGTAAGCCTGCGGACTCAAGGGTTCCAGGTTCGATTCCGGTCAAGGGCATGTACCTTGGTTGTGGGCACATCCTCAGTAGGGGGTGTGCAAGAGGCAGCTGATCGATGTTTCTCTCTCATTGATGTTTTTAACTCTCTATCCCTCTCCCTTCCTCTCTGTAAAAAAATCAATAAAATATTTTTTAAAAAAGTAGAAAGATCAAAGCTGGCACAAAAGGTTTAGAATTCATTAGTTGGTATAGAAGCCATGAGACTGAATGAGCTCATGTAGAAAAAAATGTTTAGTGAGATCAAGAAGAAATGTGGAATAGAGCAAATGGTGCAAGGAAAGGAAACTGAGCAGCCATGTCCAATGAGATAGGAGGAAAACCAGGAAAATGATTTCAGAGATGACAAGAGAAGAAAATATCTCAGGAAGGTAGAAGTGGGCAACAATGACAAATGCTGCTGAGATGTCAACTAAGGTGAAAGTGGAGAAATGACTACTAGCTTTTGTTAAGAGTCACTGTTGACTTTCAAGAATCAAAATGGAGATTTCTGTGAGGTGGGAAAGGGAAGACAATATCTACAGATGATTCCTAGATGAGGGGCTGCATACGAAAGAGTGGCCTTAAAGGAATTCATGCTTTATACACAGTATGCTTTCATTATCAAAGCAGTTATACACCATCAGGGCTTTGTTCTCATTAATTACTGTGCCCACAAGAATGGGTGAGGGGCAGCAGTTAGATGGCTAGAAGAGATTCTTTCCTAGTTCTTTTTTCTTATATATTTTTTATTGATTTCAGAGAGGAAGGGAGAGGGAGAGATAGACAGAAATATCAATGATGAGAGAGAACCATTGACTGGCTGCCTCCTGGGTGCCCCCTACTGGGGATGGAGCCCACAAACATGGCATATGCCCTTAAGCTGAATTGAGCCAAACCAGCTAGGGCTTTTCTCTAGTTCTTAGGGGTCAACTGGGAAAGTGGAAAAACTAATCTCACTCTATCCTCACTCACCAGCAGAGGGCAGATAAAGCTTACTAACACATGGATGGCACACAGCGAATGTTTAGTCCAGATTAAAGAACTGGAAGGAAAATTACATAAGCAAAACCCAATAGGTCTTTATTAGTTCATGTACTGCATTTGCTGGATGGCTGTGAAGACTTAAAGATGAAAGGTATGTGAAAGATGCCCAACACAATGTCAACTACATCACTGGTATTTCTTTTTTTCAGCTCTGGGGACGTGCAAGCTGAATACTCCACATCTATTGGTCAGAACACATTAAGAATTGCTCTTTTGCCCAAATCCTGAAAGTTAAACCTGTTAAGCCAGGCCTCAAACGAGCATTGAACCCTATTTCCCATGGCATCTACAAGTCCTTCCTATTTTGTAAGTAGCCTTACAGATTCTGTGGACAAGGGCATTATATGGAGAACCTGAAACAAGCAAGCAGACAGGCAAATTTCATCCACCCCTTCATTAACCTTGTCAACAACTTGGACCCTAATGTGTAAAGTGACAAAGTGAAATGGAGGGAAGGACAGAATAGAGTCAGAGATAGACTAGATCTCTGAATAGAATGGATCCAAAGTAAAAATCATCTCTATCTGGAGCTCACAAAAGATCTGGGTTACCGTCGGCTGCAAACTGCTGCTCTCCTGGTTGTAGATCCTGCCGGAAGTCATTCTCCTCATCTGAGTCATCTGGATGATGATTGTTGTCATGGATGTTGGCATTATTCTGGGCATTGTTATCATTGTCGTTGTTAGAGTTCTGGTTGCTGACAAGGGCTGAAGACACCCCAATTCCAGTGCCTGCACTTAGACCAACTCGAGCACAGCCCTAAGGTTAAGACAAAACCACACACTTATATCCCTTATTTCATCTCTACATAAGAATATTTAAATAGAACTTTATTTATGAAATGCTTTTACATATACATATAAGAATTCATTTAAGGCTCACAACACTTCAAGCAAGATAAATTGTTATTATGCTTGATTTTCAGATGAGATGCACGATGGGAAGAGAGCTGCCCAACAGCACATGACCAGTAAGAGGTACAGCTGGGACTTGAAACCCAGTGTTCTGACCTCAAATTCCACTGACTCAACAGTGGGAATGTAACCATTAAGAACTGATAAGAGAGAACATACTTAGTTGAAGCATTAATTTTTTTTTTTTACAATGAGAGTATAATAAATTTTATTTGTTAAGCAGTTTTAAAATAACATTTTGTTCAACTGGGCAATCTCAAATTTCCCAGGATATACAACCCACTAAAAAAGACAGCAGCAAAGTAAGACATTTCCAAATAAATCCGTAATCCTCATTTATATTTTGGGTTCCAATTAGTATGAGTAATAATTTGTATTAGCCCAAATTTCTGTCTTCACTCTTACCATATCTTCAGTTTATAAAACTGATGAAGACAGCTTTCCACTTACTTTTTTCTTTCCCTTTTCTAGAGACCCCTTAATACTCATTTACAAGAAAGAGGCCATGCATTATTCTGACCTTTATGCCTTCACTGAGTCTGGCAGTAAAAAGTCCAATTATAACACTGTAAAGGCATATTATTAGGAAGAAAGCACTTGTTTTGTTTTCTTCCTTGGGTACCAAAATAAATGAACAAAAATTCTCTTAAATATGATTTACCTTGGGTGGTTCACGAAACATCTGGTCCAGTGAAATAAACTCCAGGCTGGGCAATAATTCAACAAACTGGCCGAAGGAGTCCAACTTCAAAGCATGGCACCGCACTAAGTTGATATCAACCAATCGTGTCCATCTTGAGTGATCTGTTGATGAAATGGCCACAGAGAATTTAAGCAACATTTTCTCCATTACTGATGAATTTTGCTATAGGTCACAAAGACTTTCAAATCTGGTTTCTTTAAGCAATTTTCCTCTATCTCTACAACTTAATAACTGTAAACTATGATGTTTGTTACCTAATTTCACTGTGGGAATCATTAACATGTAACCAAGTTAGCCTGGATTTAAACGTTATCCACTCAACAACCTACATACCTATTCAACAATGGGACACTAGTTAAAGAAATATTGGTGCATTAATTTAATAGAACATTATGCAGCTTTTAAAAGAATGAAGAACTGAATATGCTTGATTTGGAAAGCTCTCAAAACATTCTTAGTACAGAAGACAAGCTACCGGACTGCATACATAGCAGGATCCTTTTGTTTATATAAATCATTTTCAATGCTAGACATGTATAGGCTGCAATATGCCCAAAATAGTCTGCCCATAGAATATACAAGAAACCGTTGATGGTGGTTACCTTTGAGAAGAGGAGACTTTTCATTTTGTACCTTTCTGTACTGATTGATATTGTTTTATCAAGTGCATGTATTATTTTAGTTTTTAAGTGTTAACAGGAGTTCTGAGTGATGGGATTATAGGCCATTTTTTTTTTCTTCTTTATACTCTTCTGTATTTAAGAAAACAAACAAATCAAAAACCCAATAAATGTTATTTTTTAAAAGTGGTGTATACTTCCTAAACTTAAAGTGTGGATTTCCCAATAACTTCTTGGTGCAGCTGGGCCAGGGATTTCATTTCTGGTGGGTGAGACATGGTCAGTCTAATGAGTGACTGATCTCAACAGAGGCCCCAGAGCCCAAAAACAGGCCTGAAGACAGGCTTTGTGAGGAGCTACAATATCCCTGGGTGGTGGCTCAGATAGCAGAGGAGGCAGTTCTGTAGGTGTTTGTGAGGGGGAATGGTTTGATTAAAGAGGATACCACAATGAAAATTCTGTAGTTCTGAATTTATTTAAAGGTTGAGAATTTAGGTATTTAAGAAGGACCTTTAAAGAAATAAATAGTATTACACTCTTAGGGAGAAAAATCAACTCCCTCATAAGGAAAAATATCAAGTGCAAAAGTCACGGGGGGTGAGGGGGGGGGTCTGAAATAGCCTAGGATTTTAAGGTGACAAAAAATGTCTCTAAGTTAATGTGTAATATGTTACCTAACTAAAGTTAGATATATACCCACTTTGCCCTTTCAGATAATGTGCCATTTGAAGGTAATTCAGAGGAAACAACCACAGTATCCCAAGCAACAATTTCTAACCTTCATTGTATGTGCCTGGCCCAAAGAGGTATATATCAAGATCAGGGCACTTGAATCCATAACCTGGACAGTGCAAACTTTTGGGCAGAAAATGTCAGGAGTTCAGAGGCACTGAATATACTTCCTACTCAGTTATCAAAGGTTCCCAGAACTCGTATGAATAATTCATATAAAATATCTACATTTTATATTACGAATGCGATCCATAGTACACATAGAAAACAAAGATACATATTATCTCAACATAAAATACAGACAGATTTAAGCCTACAGTACCTGAGATCCAATTGTATGGATTATGTAGATGGGGGCAATTATAAATTGCCAGATATTTGATACAGGAAAAAACTTCGTTGACTGCCTTCATCCCTATGTCGGTGATAATACCAGGATTTTCTACCACATCGGCCAGACCGTACTTCACCAGATCTGCATTAGCCATTCTGCCTAAAAAGAGAAATAGACTGTTTTTTAAAAAAGGTTAAGTGTCCAGGAGCATTGCCAATTCTTTATCTTAACATCCAGTACAATCACTCTCTATGATCATTCTGTGTCATCTGTTCATCAGATTCAGGTTCAGGTATAGTTTTTAATTAGGTGTATTGTACAAATTGGCCTTAAAGTAAGAATTTATATTAAAAGTTAAGGGGGGGCCGCTAATAGGAAAAAATATTTCCAATTATTTAGAAAAGGCAAAAAGAAAGCAAAAGTTCTTAAAGCAAAACGGACAGATATATTGTATTAGTTCAAGTCTATGGTGAAGTTTTAGTTTTATCTTTTAAAAGAAAAATAATACCTTAAAAATATAACTCACATGTTTATGGAGTTGGGTATAGCCATATGTAGAGAGGAATAAACTTAGGGAATTCAGATTCATTTTAAGAGCCCATGTTATTGGTTGGTAAATCTGTATCTGCCTCCAGGACATGGACTTCTAACTCAAACACACCCATCCTCTCTGCCACGGAGCTCCTACTGTCTTGTCACAGATGAGGGGGTGTATATAAGTAGAAGAGGCCCCTCCATTCTGGTTTATGCCATTGGAAATCACACCTCATCCCTTGTCCCCATCAATGTTTCTCTCATCTATCTTCCCTCTACTCTCCAGGATGGTCCAGTTGACTATGAACACTTTGAAGTAAAAACGGAACTTATCTAGTTCACATTTCCAGGAATTCAAACATCTTCCCAGTCCTTGTAATCAAGTAACACAAAGCACAAAGAAAACAGTTGCTCTGGTGAAACTGCCCTGCATACTAGAGGGATTTATATCTTCAGTTCAGAACATGCTTAAAACAAGCAATCTACTCCAAAACCCTTCCAATTTCGCTTTCCATACAGTTCAGTCTCTCTCTGATAGTCCCCTTTTTGGGCATTTATTGGCATTTGCAGATTACACCTGAACCCATCCTTTACCATTAAGCTGAGCAGTTTTCTTCAGTCTCCTGATAAAAAGCTTTCTCTTGCCCTTTGGACTTGAAACTTGCCTTTTCTCTCCTCTGATCAGGTAAATCTTGAACTGACCCTGTTCCTTGGGTGCTGTCTGAATAAACAGCCTGATGTGAGAAATCGATGTCCTACATTCACTCCTTTGAGACTATTAGCGTGTTCCTGCTCTTAGGGTCTCCTGACTGTAACACTACCTCAAAACCCTGAGGACATCACCAAAGACTCATTTTTGTTTTTTGGTTCAGCTCATAGTTCTGCTAAAAGTTACCATTACTGAATGCTTTCTAAATGTCAGAGATTATAATAATAAAAGCCCATGTTTTCACATTTGTTAAATGAAGATAAAACCACAACAAATAAGAGATATGGACTAAAGTAACTTGCTCAAGGCCCTGCGATTAATAGCAGGCAGTCCTCAAGTCCATCTCCCTCCCTCTCCCTAAAGCTTCAGCACTAAGACTACTCTGTACTGCTCTGGTTTTCAATGAGTGTTACATCCCTATCACATTTACAGGAAGCTCTGAGATCATAAATCTATGTAAGTATTCATCCTTGGGTCACTTATGTTCCTAATACACAGCATCTGCTTTTCAGCATGTCCATTTCCTCAATCTGGCACTGTCACTTCTACCATAAATGTCTGAGACAAGGATTTTTGTCTCTTTTTATGTTTTGCCAGACACTCTGTAACAAAAAAAGGGACTCAAGTTTTACCAGGGGCCACCCCTACCTCCTAGACAGATGCTTTAAAATCTAAATCACTGAAGCTGAGATTTAGTGACAGAGTATGACCAGTGACCTCCCGTTCCTCTCTAAATAGAGGCACCTGGATCCTATTCTGATGCAGAGAATTCTAGGCTGCCTTTGGAGAAGCAGAGAAGAACAATTATACTAGAGAAATGGATGAACTGCAGCAAATATGAAGAGGATAGCTTATAAAAAAGGTCAGAGCTAAGGGACTATTAAATATGAAAAGACTGAAACAAGTTATTTTGAAAAGCATAAGGTAATAGTAGTCAAAGGTAAAGTGTTTTTCTTTGAAAATGAGTAGGGAGGGGACAGAAACACAATAGAGAAATATGCCCTGGTCGGGTAGCTCAGTTGGTTGGAGCACCATCCCAATACAGCAAGGTTGTGGGTTCGATCTCCAGTCAGGGTACATACAAAAGGCAACCAATGAATGAATAAGTAAGTGAAACAACAAATCGATGTTTTGAGCTTTGGGGAAGAACAAAATACAAGCTTACAGAAAGAACACTAATTACCAAACTAATAATTTTGTAAGTTACTACATAGATAATATTACAACCTCATTCAAAACCAGAAAAGTCTGATATCAAATACAGCAGGTCCTAAAATGTCCTTCATTACAATGTTGATCAGATACCATAAGAACTTTACTCTTGTTTATATCAATTAGCCTATGGTAAAATTAGTTTCATTATACAAACATTGTTTTGCCACAGTTCAAAGAACTTACCAAAAACATTATGGAGGGACTTACTGTACACTGATTTTATATGAACTTGCTATACTAATTTAGCATTTTAAAGCTATGTTGGTGAAAAGCTGATCTTTTTCAAAGCTATAAAGATTAAGTGATTTCTGTGTTAAACTGGCTGATTTCATTGTTTTAATCCTTCACCTGTATTAATGAGAACTGCAACAAAGAAAAAGTAGAAAAAAAAACCCTATTGCTGACAATTATTAGAAATGAAAAAGGACAACAGTCACGCAGTTTGACCTGGACTGTCCTGACCAGAGGAATTAAGCCTTCTATGGTTTTCTACAACACAAATTAGATCCAAAGAAAAAAATGCCATCTGGAATGACAGTGAACAATGTAAGAAAGACTTGTTGCAAATTACATGGGGAATAAACTAATTCTTGCAAAAATAAAAACATGCTGGTGTTCTTGCATGTATGACTAACGTCATGTGGGAGAAAAGTTTGAATAACGAATTGACATGCATTCAAACCCAAAGGCTAAGTTCCCCATTGTAAATACATTCCAGAAAATGCTGTGAACAAGCCTTCCAACAGCAATCATCATTAAATGAATACTGACCATTATGTGCTCACACTATCTGGGAAATCCAGTAGCCCAGCGGGCTAATTATGGAAATGAAGAGCATGGGCAGGGAATGGGACCTCATCTGAGAGGACCATCAAAAGCTTCAAGAAGTGTGGCAGATCAAATTCAACAAATGGAACCAAGGATGACATTCTGTGAAAAAAATGAAGCAGAATGGGAAAGAAACTTGGGCAGCAAAGTGGAGACAATATCAAATGTAGATAAGGATTTTTTTTTTTTAGTATACTGATAATCACTACATTTTCTATAATAAGCTAAATTCAGAGGCAATATTGAAAAAAATAATCACTGACACTTAAAGCTTAAATTAAAAATTTCTTTATCAAGAAGTGAGAGCACCTAAGAGTTTAAGTTGTCTTATATTCAGGAAAATATGAAACATCCCAATTCAGGTTTCAGTCAAGTAAGTTCCCTCCAGTAATTCTAAAGAATAAAAAAATGGGATAAGTCTTACTCTGCAGCAAAAACTCATCTACATATCCCAGATGAAGGGTTTCAAACTGGGGGAACTCCAACTCTGCCATTTTTAGGGCAGAAAAGACACCATCTTTGGTTAGGGAAGGCTGGATCCGAACTTCATGTAACCTATGAACAAAGATAAATCACAGTAAAATACAAGCAACCAGTAAAATACACAATCACAGTGAAATACAAACAACCAGAATCAAAGGCTCTTCCTAATATAAGGCTCTGAAAGTAGTTTATCTTGCTGAAGTGTCAAATGCAAACAACTTTTCTCCCCTCCATTAAACATGTTAGAGATGTTTCCTTTAAATATACATACTGCAAAGTGTGGGCACACCTTAGGTGGTACACGGAAGTTCCTATTAAATAACAATGAATTACACAGTAAGAATCCTATATCCTTCCCAGTGCTTTCTTAAACCTGATTAAGTCAAATAAGAATCTGGTGCTGGTATTTTTTTTAACATCTTTTCTATACTAACCATTATGTCCCATTTTAACAAAGAGTACAGTTCTACAGTAGGTAACAATACCTATTTACTTAAACTTAGAAACAGTTTTGCTTTATTTATTTTCTTAATATCCTACTGATAAAAAGACTTTTGTTTACAAGTAAATTGAAAAAATAGTTAATTCAACTTAAATCAAATATTAAAGTACAAGTAGAGGTAGACTTCTTGATAACATAGGAAACAGTAAATGTGGCATAAGGTCAGGAACTTGAAAAGGCTGATTTTAAACAGATTTCTCAACAGCAAATAATATCTCCAACTAACTAAACTGATTCAGAAAATTGTTGAAGTTGAGACATGCTTCCTGAGAGGGCTACAGGTGCCAGAGAATCAATGCTGGCGTCTGTTACACTCTCAGGCACTTCCAGAGAGCTGACTGTTTTTTGCTGGTAAGACCACATCCTTTCAGAGCTTGCTGGGTCTGAAAGAGCAGCTCAACTGGTCATCAATTCTAACATGGGACTACCACATGATAACCCTGCTGCTATTTAAACAACTCCAGTGTATTTGAAATCTGAACAAGGCATGATCAAACTTTTCACACATATTCCCCAAATTTTTGTAAAACAGGAAAATACATATAATTCTAAGACAAAAGACACAAGTGAAGAGGAAACATACCTACGAGCAGCAGTGATAATGAGGTAACCAAGGTCTACTTCAAGAGCATTTTTGCAAGCTCCCAAAACAATGGTGTGCAAATTTCTAAAACCACCTGGTTAACAAAGAAAAGGAACAAAACATAAGACATTTCATTTGACCACAGTACTTTTAGTAAAGCATTTATTCTCACTTTAAATGATAATTGTATTTAATCTAAGTTTGTTTTTCTATTCAAATGAGTATCTCAAGATCAATTAGGACTACTAGTTATCTCCTAAGATGAAAACAGATACCGTCACTCTGAAAAGACATTCTGATGGCGTCTGAAAATTAGTCCAAATTATTTCAATTTTAAGTAAGAATTTTCAGAAAGCCAGAAGCTCATGAGGGAATTGTAAGTAGGGAATCCTAGCATTTTCTGGCTAAAGTTTGAACCTCCAATATATTTATAAGAAATAAGATCAACACTACTTTATCTTTAACTGGTTTTGGCTATGTTTCTGACTTGTAAATACAGAGGGGAAAAATATACAAATTATTAATGTATATAGCTAAATGAATTTCACAAAAGACTGATTTGTTTTGAACTTCTTATAAATAAGACTACACAGTATGCATACTTTTGTGTCTGGCTTCTTTTATTAAACATTTTGTTTATGAGATTCATCCATATTGTTGCCTGTAGCATTACTTTGTTCATTCTCATTGTTGCACAATATTCCATTGCAAGAATATGTTACATTTTAATTTTCCATGCTATTGCTAAATAGGCATTTGGGTTGCTTCCATGTTGGAGCTTTTATGAATGTTACTATAAACAATTTTAAACACTCTCTTGGTGAATAATGTATGCATTTCTGTTGGATTTGAAGTATTATTGTCATTACTATTAGTGATAATGTTTATTTGTAACCAATGATACTTGATGATTTTCCATTTATACCAAAGGTGGGGAACATCTGGTCTGGCCCTGCCAAGGCATTAGGGGTGAGTTAATTAAATGTTTGACCAAATATAGAAGGATAATCTTTAAGTTGATAATTTTGTATGGCTCTCAAATGATGTTATAAATATCTAAATGGCCCTTGGCAGAAACAAGGTTCCCTACCTGATTTATACTTTGAATATCCAAAGTTAGATTTTCAGTTCTCAAGTATTATCTAGCTAGCTAAATTTTTTGGTATTTCTGTTTCAATTAGATGTGATTAAAATGGAGAGGGTTCTATTACATATCATGATTTAAAATATAATTAATGTGACCTAAAGAATAAAATGCTCATTTTTTTTAAAGCCATAATCTAATGGATAGGTCTATATCCAAGTCATAAACATGAAAACATTTTATGTACTATTAAATATAGTTATGTTATTAATACCTGAGTTATTCTGGTATCCAAGTCAAAAAACATCTCTTAAAACCAAAGAGCATTAGACATCCTTGTTAACATTTCTCAGAAACAATCTGAATATAACAGATGTATTAACTAAATATAAGTATTAACAAGCCAGAAAACATGCCTTATCACTCTATTTAAGAAGGTTTAACATTGCATAAAATGGAAATGAATACTAGCTTGTGCTCATGGTTACTTACTCTATGAAATACACCAGAGAGAAAGTGCCATTACTGACAAGCATTTTCTTTTGAAAAGACTCAAAAGAGAAGTAAGTAATATCTTAATGATCTTTAAAAATTGATTTTTAAAATATTTAGTAACTAAAGAAAAACAAATACCTGATCTCCAGCTGTCTTCAACTACATGTTGGATAAGACCTCCAAGGAAAGGAACTCGAACCATTTCTAAGTGTTCCAAGTTTCGGGCAGAGGCCAGGCCTGTTACTAAAGGGACATATTTCAAGGAGTTTGTGGGACCTGGGAAAAAGGAAAAAAAAATTCAATGAATTATATAAACAGCCCTAAAGACAAATTTTCAAGTCAGCAGTTGAAATAACATAAATTCTATGTTGGAAAATGAGAGCCAAGTAGTTGGCTCTTGGCCATTTAAACTGATTAGAATGTAAGTATTGGCCTGTTAACCATATACTTAGGATTTGTTAAGAACATTGCATAGGTTTTGGGTTTTTTTTAAAATAAATTCCCTAAATTCTTAATAGTTTTGAGCTCAAAATAACTAAGGGGGGGAAAGCCAATTTGAAAATTTGATCCTTCACTCAAGTAAATAGCACAATCACTTAAACATATCTCTATGTAATGATTGTTGTATTAAGTGTTATGGAAGATCATAAAAGATATGGTCCTATCAAAGAGCTTGCAACTGGCATGGTGATAAAACTAACATGAAAAATTATAAAAATATAAAAAGGCAGGACATATCAAGTACAAAAATAAGATCTTCTATACTATATTTAAAAAAAGAAAGAAATGGAATAGAAAGGGAAGCAGAAAGAGGCAGAACTTGAAGGATGTATACAAGTAAAGAGGAGGAAGGAAGTGTGTAACTCCAGACATACAGCATAAGGAAAGACACTGAGGTGAATGGCGGTATTGTTGTAGACAGTACGTAGGCAGACCTGACTATAAAAGAACGTGTATCTTGGGAAGGAATCAAAAATCAAGGATATCAAGAAGGGCCCTGGTTATTGTGAAATTTAAAGCACAATAGTTTGCACTTGACACGCTCGGGAAACAGAGACACTGAAGGTTTCTGAACTGAAAAGCAGTATCATAAAAGCAGTGTTTTATGCTTTCAAGTACATTAGATCAACTATTTACATGCAGAATGATTAGGTGACCAAAGACAAAGAAAGCAAACAGAAATCTATTAAAACAATCCAAAAAAAGTGACCAAAGACAAAGAAAGCAAACAGATATCTATTAGAACAATCCTATAAAAAAGTGTGAAAGTGCCTATAAGAAATACTTAGAGACATAGTGACACCTTTTTTTTGCTAAGGGTCAGACACAAATCATGTATCTACTGTCTTCAAACAAAAAGTGTATTTATCTTCACAAGGTAAGTTACAAAACACATACTATAGTAGTAGCAAAATAAAATTTTGTTTATGAATGTAGCTATGGAGTTTGCTTTAGGTTATTTTTAGAATAGCATATGTGTACTAGTAACTCCACCATGACTATGTCCCATTACCTGCACAGTTCCTCATGACGAAAGTTCTCAAGCTGATGCAAAGAAAGTCTTTGAATGGCTGTGGCTTAGTGAGTCTTACCCACTTCATATAAAGGTGCCTTAACATTGGGATACAAGGAATTTCAGGAACATTCACCCCTGAAACATATATGTAAAAAAAGAACAAACAAGAAAATCACCAAGAAACTCTGTATTCTGTATCTAAGTTCGAGTCTATTTTCAAGTTGATAACATATACTTCATGGATATTTTATTCAGAACAAATTACCCCATTAAAATCTATCAACTTTGGCTCACTTAAAACAGTCTTGTAAAGAACAATTTAAACAAACCATAAATAGACAAGGTACTTTGTTATTTCTTGAGTAAAAGCACATGGGAAGATAGGATTTTATATGTTATACACATAAGTCTTTCTCATAACACCACTACCCTTCCAGGATACATTTGCCCAGTGGATATAATATAAATATAGGTTATTGATAGCAAAAGTAATAAGATACAGAAACAATATACAAAATTACTATTTCACTACCAGTGTCCACTATCCTGCCAGTGGGAAAACTAAATTTCTCAGCACAAATGCAGGCTAGCTGGCTTTAAAAATCCTGGTTTCTGACTGATATCAGACACAGAGATTAAAGCTCTTCTTACAAATGTATGAATCTTAAGGATCTGTAGATGTGTGGTAGGAGCCAGTCAGCATGATGCTAAGAAAGTGAGAGACCTGTCAGTCATTTATTTTAATACTAGAGGCCTGGTACACGGATTCGTGCACCAGTGGGGTCCCTCGGCCTGTCCTGTGGACATGCCCTGGGGGGGTCCTGGATTGCGAGAGGGAGCAGGCCAGGCCGAGGGAGGGACCCCAGCGGTGCACAATTGGGGCTGGGGAGGGCCCGCAGGAGGGGTCCAGGGCATGTCCGGCCTGTCAGTCCCAATCGTCTAGCTCAGTCCAGATCAGCTGGACCCCAGCAGCAAGCTAACCAACCAGTCAGAGCGTCTGCCCCCTGGTGGTCAGTGCACGTCATAGCAACCGGTTGAACAACCGGTTGGACATTTAGCATATTAGGCTTTTATTATATAGGATTTCAAATTGATAAAGTTACTTTGCCCTCCTGATCCATGAGTGGCTTAAAGCTAGAAATCACAGAGGACCATGTCTGGAAGAAAGGGGTGGGGATTTATGGTGGGAGGAAAAGTCAGGAAATATGGAAGAAGAAAGAAGACAGGTAACTTGTACATTCTAAATGGAAGGAAGCAGCTCCAGGAACTTGCTCGAGAGTCTAAACACTGCAGGCTACAGAATAGCCAAGGAAGTGACACAGGTTCTGAGAGATATCCAAGGGTCCAGGGTTATGGTATTTCATAAGCAGCGGCTGGCTAAACTAGCTTAATGCAACTTTTAAATTTGAGTCAGTAGAAGCCCTGCTAGCAATGGTAACTAGAGAAAGCAATATTAGAGTATTTGAATGACTGGTTCTTTAAAAGCTAAATTCTACAGAAAGCTAAATTCTACTGTATTGGTAACTTCTTAACTTGGTACTCCCAAATAAGCATGGTTAACTTAACTTTGAATGATGCATACACATTGGATGGCAACAGATGGGAAGTAAAATTGAGGATGAGACCAAAGGAAAAAAAAAAACAGAGGAAGTAAGGTACAGATTGAGACTCAAGATGCAAAATTAAAAAATATATCTAACATGATGATGGTAGTTCTGATTAGGAAACCCAAGGTACCAAGGGTGAGACAGATGCAGATGAGACATCATATGCCCAATCTACATTTTGCCCCAAATCCATTCTATACACAAAGACTATTACCTGTCTTCCCCAGCACGTTCATTAATTTACTACCCACATTTGTATCACCATTAGAGTGTTAAGCTGCTGGATTAATCAAGTTATTTAATGCATTTCAACTTACCAAGTACATATTTTTTTTGCAATGAACTGTGACAGGAATCATAGAAAACATAAAGATATAAAAATACAGTCTTTGTGCAGGGCCTATATTTTAACTTCAGATATTATAATGCTATCTAAAAACCCAATTTCAAACTAGATATCCAAGTCCTTAATCAGAACCACTCCTTGATCTTGTCAATGAAAGGATGCTGGAGAGCTTTGCTCCTCCTCCATAATTGTGCACATAAGTCTTATTTAAAACTTACTCCTATCATCCCTGCTGCTCTCCCTTCCCCACCTGACCCAGTTTCAGAAATTTCTAGTTCAGGACCACCCAAAATACCTGGAATAATGCTTGAAATACAGCAGATACTCAATATGTATATTTTAGGTAAAATATTTAATAAATGAATTTTAAATGTCAGACTATAGTAACAGGAGTAATAAAAATTCCCTTCAGCAATCTAAGCCAAAGACAACAAATTAGAGAAAATACGTCCAAATGGATTCTACCAATTCATTTACTTAGATTGAAATTATTGGGATATAGTACCAGGGAATATTTAGACAGAGACTACATACTGTGACCATTACAAATAAGATGAATCTGGAAAAGACCATCTCTTCCCCATTTCTCAGGGAAACAGAGAAGTGGTAGAGTTTTCCAATGACTCTGGGTTGAAGAATACAGGGGCACTTTCTGCTTGGAGAAGATACGAGTAACCTAAGAGCTATAATGAAGATTTTTATTATATAAAAATAGCTACATATGGCTATTTGATAAATTACCATAAAAAAAACTATCAGTTCCTGTTTCACTAGCCACAGTGGGTACCATATAGGATAGTACAAGTATAGGACATTTCCATCATCACAGTAAGTTACACTGGAGGACTCTGCTCTAGAGGGTTGAGCTAGAATCAAGAGGTAGATGTTAGATAACAATGGCAGGATTCTGGTTCATTGAAACAAACAAACAAACAAAAAAACCAACAACTTTCAAAACTACTCAAACTATCTTCAAAAAGGAAATAGAGTGGTTGTGAAGCAGTATTTCTCTTGTCCCCCATCCCAGGCTTGTTAGTGGGAAATTTTTATACAAATCTCATAAGCATATCTTTGCCACCATCAGTCAACAAAGACATTTCTAAAATTCTGCCTATTTCCTTTCAATGAATATTCAACTAATGTGGCATTTCAAGGAGTCACCAGTGACCCGAGAAACATGTACTCACCAACTAAATGCAAAGTTTGAATTTTTGCTCCTATAGGAATTTTCAGTTTATTTTCAGGAGGAATTGGAAATGCTCCATTACGATTCCGAAACTTCCCCAAAATATGAACATGAGGCATATACGTCCAAATGGATTCTACCAACTCCAAATGAGAAGTCTCCACACCCTAGAAAATAATGCCAAAGCAAGCATAAGAAAGGCTTTTAATTTAGCACCCAAAGCTTCTATTTCTGTAACATAAGATGTTAAGCATGCAATGGAACTTAAAAAGTTTGCTATGGATGAAATTTACATGTGAGGGAACATGTGTTATCATTATTTTTATTTATTTCATCAATTAGTTGATGTTAAATGTTCAACTAGAGGCACTCACCACTAAGTTTGGGCATGCCTGCAAAGCTTCCAGAACACCTGGAATGCTAAAAGCTTCATGGCCACGCACCCTCCGCCTCTCAAGGTATCTAGGGTGAAGGCCATATAGCTGTTCGACGTCTGGCATCTTCTTCAATAGTGTCAGAAAACTGGAATCTGTGAAGCCTGAGAAGTTCAAAGATATTTAGAGCCTAGTTCATTTTTCTGTCTGTCAGCATTTACTAGGCACTTTCCTCCTCCCCAAAAAGTACTCTCTGGTACATAAAACCTCAAGGGGTCCAGAGACCCTTCAACCAAAAAAAATGAGTAAGGTAAGAAAGATCTTCATCTTCAGAAAGCTCGGTTCTCACCTAAATCCCATCCCAACCTAGGTTCTTTTAGTCCTAATAACTACTCTGTCTAGTGTGTATCTATCACTCCTTAGACATTTTATTTATTTTTAATAAAGATTTTATTTTTATTATTGATTTTTAGAGAGAGAAATGGAGAGAAAGAGAGAGAGAGAACACCAATGTGAGAGCGAAACATCGATGGCCTGCCTCCTGCAATGCTCCCTACTGGGATCCAGGCCACAACCTGGGCATGTGTCCTGACCTGGAATCTCCTTGATCCCAAATCAAACCAAATCAAACTGACAGGTGCAAGGGATGATGCCCAACCAACTGACCCACACTGGCTGGGGCACTCCCTAGACATTTTACACCAGCAATTTTTAACCTTTCTCATTTCATGACACATATAAAGTAATTCCTAAAATTCTGCAGCACACCAAAAAAAATATTTTTTTGCAGATCTGACCAAAAAAAAGATATGATTTGATTGACTTACAAAAATAATAATAATAATAATAATAGTAATCACCTACCCTTAAAATTTTTTTATTGAATTTAGGGGGGGGAGAGGGGGGAGAGAAATCAATTTGTTATTCCACTTATTTATGCATTCATTGGATAATTCTTATGTGTGCCCTGATCAGGTATTGAACCTATAAACTTAGTGTATCAGAAAGATGTTCCAACTGAGCCATCCAGCCAGGGCCTAATTACCTATCCTTTTTGCAGATAACATGCTATTGTATACAGAAAACCCTAAAGACTCCACCATAAAACTACTGGATTTAACAAATGAATTCGGCAATGGAACAGGCTACAAAATCAACATCCAGAAATCGATGGCATTTTTATACACCGTAATGAAGAAAATAAATTGATAAATAAAATAGAAACAGAAGCATGGGAACATGGAACAAACTAAGAAATCTCAGATGGAAGGGGTGAGGGGTGGCAGAAAGAGATTAACCAAAGAACTTATAAGTAATAGGGTGGTGAAGGCCTGGGGCAAGGGCAGGGAAACTGGATACCTGGTGGAAGGGGGCAATGGAGGAGCAAAGGGAGGACATCTATAATATGTAATGCTATCAATGATAAAGACAAATATTTTAAAAAGATAAGGTGCCTATAATGTACATAAGGATTTTTGCTACCAAGAAATAACCAATCAGATGCAACTTTATTATGTGACATGACCAGTAAGATGCAACTCTTGCCTGGCTGGTGTTGCTCAGTGGTTGAGCACTGACCTACGAACCAGAAGGTCATGGATCGATTCCTGGTCAGGGCACATACGCAGGTTGTGGTCTTGATCCCCAGTAGGGGGCATGTAGGAGGCAGCCAATCAATGATTCTTTCTCATCATTGATGTTTTTATCTCTCTCCCTCTCCCTTCCTCTCTGAAATCAATAAAAATATATTTTAAAAAAATGCAACTCTATTATGGTTCAAGACAGGGCATTCACACCAGACAGCTATTGTGCCGGTTGTTGTCATTTTTTTATTTGACAACCTGGGGCTTTTATTTTTAATATAGGCTGTCAGAGAGCCAACTGTCTGCTCACTAATGATAAAAATAGTAACTCTCAAGAATAAAAATGGCCCTTGCCAATTTGGCTCAGTGGATAGAGCGTCGGCCTGCAGACTGAAGGGTCCCAGGTTCGATTCCAGTCAAGGGCACATACCCAGGTTGCAGGCTCAATCCCCAGTAGGGGGCGAGCAGGAGGCAGCCAATCAATGATTCTCTCTCATCATTGATGTTTCTATCTCTCTCTCCCTCTCCCTTCCTCTCTGAACTCAATAAAAAAAATATATTTTTTAAAAAATGAAGCCCCAAATCACTATGTCTTACATACTAAAGTTTTCAAAAGTTATGCTATTTGTACAGGGCTAGTTCGAATGATATGGTAACTTTAGCATGACAAAACTAAAGAGTAAGAAAGGATCTTAGAAATGTCTTGGTCTTTCTAATTATAACAATTCACATTATTATCCCGTACTAGAGGCCTGATGCACAAAATTCATGCAAGAGTAGGCCTTCCTTCCTCTGGCTGCTGGCACCGGCTTCCCAGGACCCGGGCTTCCCTCCAGCACCAGGGACCCAGGCTTCCCTAGCAGCCCCAGCTTCGTCCAGAAAGACGCCCAGCCTACTTAGCATATTATGCTTTTATTATTATAGATAGTAACCTTTATTGACATTCAATGTGCTAACCAGTTTACATGTTTTCTCATCTATTCTCACAACACAATGAAAAAGGTTATCACCCCATTTACAAATGTAAAAAATTAGCTTGAATTTAAAAGCTACCATGTGGCAGAGCCCAAATTCAAAACGAAATCTGACCACTGGCAATGTCCATTCTCTTTAATGGTACAGTACATGCTGCCTCTCACTAAAATGTGGGTAAAGTTCCACCTTCTTTAGAGATGGTGTGAGAATTCAAAGAGCTTGCATATGTAAACTTGCATGAGTACTATATAAAAACCTTAGTTATCATTATTATAGAGAGAATCAGGGCTCAAACTCAGAGACAGGCCAGGGTGGCATTAACAAGAATTAGTGAGATCTTATTCTAGGCTAGAGACTGTTTGCTGCTTTGACTCTCTTTTTATATTTTTTGCAGGGATGGAAGCCTTGTGTTCACAGGTTTTATCCCAGTCTGAAAGAAGCCAGCAATGTACATACAAATTCTTCTAAACTGTTTAAAATGGGAGTTCTCCTATGCTGCTTTTTATATAGTGTTGATCTCAT